TTGTGTTTTATTGCTTCCTCTGCCTTTCTGTGTGATTGTCCATAGTGCGAAGACGACGACTTTGTAGGACAATTTTTTTGTCCTGAAATGCCTCTGCTTGATGTAATTCCAACAGAATCGTACAGGGGGTGTTAGATGTATTGCTGGTCTCCTAAAGTGTCTCTTAGAAGTAGTTACTTTGTCCTGTTTTTAAGACTGGGCAGCTCTGTAGAGTCTTGCTTGTTATTATCAGATTTCTCTTCCCTTCTCCCCGAATATCCACTGGCAAGTGGCTTTGCTGGTGGGGTGTGACAGAGAAATTGTATGGGAGAAAAAACCTACTTACATGCAGAACCACAATGCAGACTGTCTGTCTATTTTTATTTTTATTTTCTGAAGGACCAAAGAATTGAAACTGAGATCAAAAATTTTCCCAGCCCAATAAATGATGGACTGCTCCCTATCAGTATGCATACAAAGGCAATAGGGTATCGCAACAAATTGTTTCTACCCACAAAATTCTTTCCCACCCTTTAGAAGCACTTTTTTAAAAAACAAAAATTCTAGATTTGTATGAATTTTATTGAAATTAAATACCTGAGATGTGAATGCTTTTTATTAGGTAGCAAATTAAAAAAGCAAAATGGACATCTCTCCATTTGTTTTGTAAAGAAATTAACTTTGAATTAAGTTTCTAAATAGGCAGCATTGTTTACTGGGATGGGGTGAACCAGGAGTGGGAGGAATTATGCATTTTTAAGGGGTGGGAAAGTTTGATTGTGCCAGTAGTTGCTGACATGTATAGTGTTTGTGCAGCACTGCTTTTATTTTAAACAGGTTCCTGTGATAGGCTTTTGCCTGTGATAGAAGTGTAGTCTATTTGGTGCTAGACCTGTTCACCCTACATAATTACAGCATTTTGATTCCACTTCAGCACCCATGGCTTAAACCTATAGATTCCTAGAATTTGTGATTGGAGCTGCTTAGGATTTCCAGCCAGGGAGATCTTCTAGTACCCCTGGTGCAACTGCAAGTTCCAGGAAAATCCCATAAAGTGCAGTCATGGTAATTTGAGTGGGACCAAAGTGATGTAATTATGTAGTGTGGAAGACATCTAAATCGCCCCTGATGAGCTGCCCAAGTAGCTGTGTGTATATGATTGAATTCTGCACACCAATGAACGGAGTGCCTCTTGTCTCCAGTTATCTTCCCTCTGTGCAGAGACCTCACTAGAGAAATTAGATATTTCTCTTTTAAAATTATTTGGGTCTGGAGAAGTGGGTTATTAAGATAACCTTATATCACAATGTCCATTTTCATCTCACTCTGCCTCCGAGAAAAGGGGATATTATGTTTGCCCAAATCTGAGTGGTGAGAAAGGTCAGGTGGAGGATTGTTGGTTACTTGAAGAATGAGCAAAGAAGCTTGTGTTAATAATCACCTTGAAAGCTAATTCCCTTTCAGATGAATGCCTTTGTATGGCTGAGGAGTGAATACATATTAGAGCTGATAACTGATTACTCCCATAGCCAACCCTTACCCTTCTCCTGCACTTCAGCCAAGGGACCTTCACTCCACTGCTTCTATCATGAACCACAGCCTGGATGCTTTTTGTTTCCGTTTTAGATCAACTGCAGTTTGTCTTTCCAGCCCAACCTGGCCAACGTGTAGTTTGGTCCTATGAAAAAAGCTAAGCTGCAAAAAATAGATTATGAAACTAGGACAAATGTAAGCTGTGAGGTGTTGGGTAAACTAGTAAAACCGTGGTTGATCTAGAATAGAAGCTGAAGCAGCAGCCAGCTGATGAGGCAAAGTGGGCTGTTTGAGCTCAGAGATTGTCATGGCTCATCATGGTAACGCAGAACAATTTAGCATTTTCTAAACTAATCTGACATTTAGTGTTCACTTTGTAAACTAAGCTGGAGACCCAACACACACAATCCTTGCAATACTATGTAGCCCATGAAAACATTTTTTTTCTTTTTAACTTTCTCTAAACTTAATCTGAGCCACTTCTGGGGCTTGCCCAGCTTGGATAAATGAAGAGAATTTCCTTTCTGATAAGGAATAATATAAGACTCAACCATTTTTTGCTGTTCTGCTAAAAGAGGCAGGACTTTCCCCCATTGTTTTCTCTTCCGAAAAGAAAAAGTATTTATTGCCAGCATGGGGTTATGGTGTTTCTCTCTCTTTCTCTCTCATTCCCCTCAAGAGTATATCAATCTTAGGAGCAATGCAACAAGAAAGTAGATGTTGCTGGTAAAAAGTATTATAAACTTAAGTATTCCTGCAAATTGTTGACTGTGGATCAAAAATCTCTGTGGGGCTTCCCCACTCTGTAGCTTCCAATGTTTTAATGAGGAAAAAAAATGAATACATACAATATAAATTCTTTTAACTACACACTGCAGTATTTATGGTGGCCATTCTTGATCAGTGTCTCCTTGAATTTCCCTGTGGGGCGGGGGCTGCTGGGACAGAAAGCCACTCAAGTTTATGTAGAAGTCCGCCAAAAGGTAATAGGTGGTGTGTACAATGTGGTGTTTGATTCCATTATTATAGACTGTATTGCGGAACTGTGATTTCAGCTGTTGTTCTTTCTTGTATTCTGTATATATGTGTGTTTGGCTGTCCAAAAACCTGGTTTTAGACACTCTTTCTTGGCAAAGTGGATTTGCATGTGGAACTTTAAAAAAATGCAATCTTGTGTCACAATTTCCAAAGGCAGGATGGATTTTCTAGAAGACAATAAATTTTTTTATTTTTTTGCTAAGAAACATAAGGCAGCAGTTTTGTGTGTGCATATATGTGTGTTTACCTGTCAAGTGAATTTTTGTGTGAGTTTTCAAAGTGCCTTTAATCCCTGCTTGCAAGCTAGAGAGTTAGTGAAAATACTGTCATTTGTTGATCTCAAATGCATTCCTCCAGGAATATTTCCTGTTTAGACTTGATGGAAGTGTAACAGCTTCACAAACAGAGAAACAAAGACTCATTTTTTCTCATGGAGCTTGGGCAAAGAGATTCCTTGTGGACTGCATGCCAGGAATGCTACCTATCATCTGATTTGTTTCATCCCCTGATAAAAAATGAATCAGTATAAGATTAGTGAAAACATCATACTGTATACTCACATTATTTCATTTATTATATATAATTTAATCCTCCACTTTGTCTAATACATGCAGCATAAATTGAAGAGGTTTTTAAGATTAGGCCTGTATCCTGTGAGATTTTTATGAATTCCAGTATGGTTTGCCCGCATCCCATTTGCACTTAATAAGCAGCTGCCGTTGTGATTGTTGGGTCTGTTCCACCGTTATTTGGGAAGCAGCTGCCTGCCATTTTCATCCCTTCCCATGAGTGATCTTTGCAGACAGACTTTTCACAATTCCCCCTCAGGCTGGAACTGGCTTTTTACAAAACTGGTTGAGAACAGCAGATAGCAGTTTCTCAAGCAACAGGGAAATAGACCACTGTTAATCGCAGCAGCTGCTTCTTGGTAAATGAAGATTGGGGATCTTTATGATCCCTATGTAGCTTCTATACCCAGGTCCAAAATACATGCAGCTTGCCCATGCCTCTTTTATACTCTAGGGCAGGGGTCTCCAACCTAAGGCCCGCAGGCTGTATGCAGCCCTCCAAGGTCATTTCCTAAACTTTAGACTTAGGCTCAGCCTAAATTTGAAATGCCTTGAATGCACACAACAACAACAACAACAACAACAACAACAACAACCCTAATTAACTTGATTATCTCATCAGCCAAAGTAGACACGCACTCCCCATTGAAACACTGGTAAGTTTATGTTGGTTAAGATAGTTCTTCATTTTAAATATTATACTGTTCTTTCAAAAAAATTGCACTTCAAATAAGGTATGTGCAGTGTTCTTAGGAATCAGTTAATGCCTTTTTTAAACTCCACCCCCAACAGTCTGACAGACCATGAACAGGCCCTTGGCTTAAAAGGTTTGAGGACCCTGATTTAGGGGCTACATAAGAACCACAAATATGTAAGTCATGGATGTGCTACTCCAGGTTAGACAGTTGTAACTCTGATGCAGGGTGCTGGCTTGTTACAGAAAAACCCTACTGGGAAGAAACATGTTTTTCTCTACTGAAAGTAGTGCACTAAAAGAGCAAAAATTTATCAAAGGAGAAACTTACGCAGATCCTTTTTTAAAATTCCCACCCAAATCATTTGACAGTTTTCCCATTATCCTGAAGAATAAGTACTTAGCAAAATCCATAGTTTTCATTTGCCCACAAACACTGTAGATGATTTTGGAAGGCATTTCACTCATTCCTACCATAACTAGCTTCCCAAGATCCTGCATCCAGTATGATGTAGGTGCTCTAGCTGTCTTTCCTTACTGTTTTGATAATTATTTGGAAAAATCTGGCTTTAGCAGGGGGCTCTCTATCATTGCTGTTTAACCTCAGTCCAAAGTTTTAGTTGTACTTGAGAGATCAGTTGAAATCAAGATTGGAAGTTAGTTCAGCCATAAGTAACTAAGTAGAGTAACCTCTCCTTTTGAGATCAATAGAATCCTAAGTGCAACTAACCTCAAGTGGAGTGTTGCTTTTTCCTAAGGATATCTGTGCTTGCCACTTGTCTGAGTTGTCTTGTATGTGTAATCCTGTCTATGTAATAATTCAATCCCATCTTCTAGCTTCTACTACTAACATCATGGTGTATCCTAAGTTGTTCTTTGACTGGGAAGCTACTGCTCAAAAGCATCAATGCTTGAGAGTAAGTGATTGGATACTGGAACTTTCTACATTGGTAAGTATAGCATATGAAACAGCTGTTTGGGGAGATTCTGTCAAACCAGGGAGAGATGGACCAGACGTTCTTCTTGATATTAATGGACAGGTTGCTTGCTGTGCCACTGGAGTAGTTCAACCGTTCCTGAATTGGGATGCAGACCTCTCAAAGGAAAGAGCTGACAATGAGAGACTCAAATAAGCTACATGAAGACCATTTCATACATGAAGAAAACACAATGGAAGTGACATAAAATGGGGCTACCAAGTGATTTATTTACATGTTATGATCTACAGATAATATTGTTTTCTATGCAAATATGCTTTCCATATCTTGCTTCCATAATAGTATCTTACTAGGGCTGAAGTAACAATTGGTATAATAATTCAGTCTACCTTTCAGTGGGTGATGATGTGGCTCCTCTAGACAAATTGTCCTCCTTAGAGAAAGAACTGAGTCAAACAGAAATGATAAAGGATAGAGTTTGAAGGCAAACTGACTAAATAGAAAAAAACAGGTGTAAAATTCTCTGAGGTCTAATAAAATTAAGAAATTTGTTCTTAAAGTTAGTTTGTACTAAAGGATTGGCAGGCAGTCAATATTAATGGTATTGTTTCAAATATTATCCACAAAGGGTTAGAGAATTACAGGACTGTTGTAACATTTGGTCAGAATGAAATGGTAGGAAAAAATATGCAGAATTGGTTGAATGCAGGCATGAGCCAACTTCTTTGCCTTGGGACCGCGTTGTGGGCCCAACTGAGAAGACTGGGCCGGGCGGGAGGGCAGCCGGACACACGCTGAGTGGGACAGGCCCGAGAGAGTGGAGCTGGAAAGGAGCAGGGCAGGGCCTGGGTCAGCCTCAGGTTGTCTTCCTGGCATAAGGATGGGTCTGCTCGTCCCATCCTTATGCCAGGAAGAAAACAAGACGTGGTGACTGCCCAGATCCTCCTCCCGATCTTCAAGCTGTTTTCTCAGTATTATGCCAGGAAGAGGTCGAGACAGACTGGCTGAAAGTGCTCCGGAGAGCTCTCAGCTGCTGCATGCCTTCGTTGGGCTATCCTCTCAGCATAAAGACAGGACGGCTCACACGGTCCTTATGCGGTGACTGAGTACTCCAGAGGGCTCTCATCTGCTGTGTGGCTTCCTCCCTCATCCTTTCTGCATAAGGATGTGGTGAGCCACCATGTCCTTATGCTGAGAGGACAGGGAAAATGAGGAGGGCCCGAAGTAAGAGCCCAGGGGGCCACATCCAGTCCTTGGGCCTTGGTTTGCCGAAGCCTGATGTAATGTATAGAAGAAAAAACTTTGGTAAGACAACCTCAGCATGACTTTTGCACAGGAAAATCTTACTTCATTGGCATTTTAAATATAATTTCATTGTTGATACTGTCCATCACCAAAAGCTCCCCTCAAAGGTACATTAGGGGGCCTGAAAGAAGGTGTCTCCTGTGAAGGCATAACTGCAGGACATATCAGATACAAACAAGCATTAACTACCATGTTCACAGTGGAAAGAAAGGTAAGTAGTGTGCACCACTAAGGATTGATCATTAGTACTATGTAATTTGCTCATAAATGTTTCAGAGATAGGTGGGTGTGCTACCTTATGCAAATGTCATGGTGAGCATTATTAGGTAAGGACATAATGTATATTCAAAACATTTACGAATATAAAATAGTATTTGAAAAATGGTTAGAAGACTTTCTCACATGTTGGGAAATCCTACTTTTGGACAATAAACCTGTTTTATGCACAGAAACTGCTGCACATTCCAAACTCGAAATAGTTTTCTGTAGTTCTCAATAGTTTTTTTGACAACCATTTCACAATAAGGAGAAAAGTTTTTTAAAAACCTGCAATAACCAAATATATCAAGATTTATATTCTATATTAGGAAAATAACTTAAAGTAAATTGGGCAATTGAACAGAGATGTTCTTATAAAGCAGTGGTTCTCAACCTGTGGGGCTCCAGGTGTTTTTGGCCTACAACTCCCAGAAATCTCAGCCAGTTTACCAGCTGTTAGGATTTCTGAGAGTTGAAGACCAAAACACCTTAGGACTCACAGTCTGAGAACCACTGTTCTAAAGCAACCTCAGTAAATAATATTGGATTGTATCTCCCATTAGTCTTAGCCAACAGAGCTATGTGTGGGTTGATGGGAATTGCAACACAATAATATGCCCCACAAGTGTATCCCAACACAAACCTTTCAGGGAGTGCTTCTGTGAGAAGTCTGCCTTTCAGATACCTGAAAACTCTTTATCAAGATGGTGTCTTCCTGACATGCACAGTTATTACACCAATATAAAATAGGAAATATTTTTGCTTGCAAAAAGACACCTCTATGATACTTGAAAGTGGGTTGGATTTTACATCCATTTGTGGGTCTAACCATTTAGCTGCTAAAATGTGACAGAAATAGCATATCTTAGCTTCATGTAATACCTTCTGTTACATGACAAAGATATCAGAGAAGCAGTACTTAATACCCTTGACAAGTGGACAGGCCCCTCCAGTCCCTACAGAAAGGTTAACACTTGCCAACAAATGGTGCTGATATTTGGAAGACTACAATCATGAGAAGCAGAAGTACCAAGCAAAGTGAAAGGAATGGCACCCAAGCTTTCAGGAATTGTGGGAATACTATGCTGGAAGCCAATGGGGAAGCCAAGAATTCAGAGATCCTTTGAAAGTCTGGATTGCCCTTTAAGGGCCCCTCAGACCAAGAGAGAGACTCCTGCAGCCCACATGTGCCCCTACTACTGGGGGGGAAATCCCATGAAAGCAAAGTAGAGGGGTTCTTGTTTTGCCTCACTCTTCCTATCCCCTCAAAATGATATTGCCAGTTTTCTGGGCTCATGCAGCCTGCTGCAAGTCCCACTGTTCAAAATTTGACACCCAGACCTCTCCTGTTCCTGCCTTAGACCTGAGCACAGTTTGCACATATAAGAAGTGAAGCTTTGTTTCTATGATAAGTTGTGTTGTTTTAAAATGCCCACAAAATTGAACTGCAAGGTTTTACACTCCTCAGCATCTGTGCTGCCTTTGCAATCATCGGCGCTATCATGGAGATGTGAGGGCATGGATTCCACGTCCGTGCCTTGCCAGCTGCTCTTCCCTTTAATTCCCCTTTAGGTCAGTGGTCCTTAATCAGAAGGAATTGCCACTCCTTCTAGCAGAGATTAGCAGGCATGTCTCTTGGCAAAGCTGATCCACTCCTTGTTTGGCATCCAGAAATAGCAGGCAGCCTGATTTCCATGCCATCTGGTGAGAGGAATTTCCTGCAGGAAGTCCACAAGAGGCTCATTACAAGTTTTGCTAGTCAAACGGCCCCTTTCCGGGTGTCTGTGTGTGCATGCATGGTCACAATTTTCTCAGCCAGTAGCAGCTTCAACAGGATTTCCGTGTTTTCAGAATTGCCATCATGTAGCCACGGGACCCCTTCCAGTTGCCTTTCAGATAGAAATAAACATCAATCAAAAAACAACTGGGGAGCTTTTGCCTTGCCAGAGTTAATCAGCCTCCGCTGGCAGAGCTCCAGTGACAAAACCTTCACACTGCTTGCAGCATCAAAGCCACCAGCAGAAATGTCTGCTACAATCTCATAGCTACTGGCTGGCCTCTGTAATTCGATTTGCTGTTGCTATGGTGGTACAGAGCCTGCTGCACCTCAACCCAGTCTCTGCCTTGTTGCCCTCTTGTTTAGCAACTGTCATTCTGATTCCTTTGACTGCTTGGTCCGTTGCCTGCGGAGTTTCACAAAGGCCTGGGCTTCTTTGTCACCTTTCCGGATCTCCAAAATCTGTAAGATATCATTGCCTGGAATAGGAAAGAAGAGATGGTGTCTTTTCAGAGCCATAACTGAAGAATTTTCTCATAACATTTGCCATAAAAACATGTTTATGCCTAGTAAAACTCATTTCTTAGAGCCCTAATATCAGTAGGAGTGTCATAAAGCAACAGTCAAAACTGTAACTGAATTATCACTACCTCATTTAGGGACTTTGACAGAGAATCTGCTCATCATAATACTTTATTTTTAACTTCCTGTGTTCTCTAGAAAAGATGGATAGTTGTGTAGAGTCTTTGGGCTGGCTGTGCTCAGAACATATTATCTAAAAGCACACCTAGTATATGCTGACATAAGTTTTGCATAAAGTCGGGTGGAAAGTGAACAAAGATCTAAACCTCAGAAGTTTGAACCAAAAACCTAGAAGTCACAGCGGAAAACCCCAGAAAAGAAAGCTGAAAGAAACTGTATAGAAAATTTCCAACTGTGGGATGCTACACAAACAATGCATGTACCTTGGAGAAAAAGGCAGATCAAAAGCCAGCTGTTCACATCTAGCCTAAGTATCTCTTACAGCTCCCTGTAGTGATACTAAAGCTTGTCCTAGTTGAAGGTTGCTATGGAAGCAGCTTCTCAAGCAAGAAAGAGGAGACGTCATGGATATTAATGCCCATCTTGTACTCTGAATAGCCGAGAGATAAAGGTTTAAAATGGAGATGAGGACCTGATTAGACTACTCCTACAAGCATTTGAAAGATCCTGGAGCATCCAGTGGGTGCAGTTCAGGACTAAAGATAGTAAAACAAAATGCACCACAACTTGTGATTTGAAAGAATTTAATCAGGACACACCTTCTTTGTGAGCACACTTCAGAATAAGAGGTTTCAGTGAAGTTAGGCCTTTACTCACACATCTTTTTGCTTCCTTTGGAAATATTTGCCCCTCAGATTGTTAACCTGCTTACCACGAAGTCTGGACATTGTCTGAGCCAACTGCTCTGTCAGAAGACAGCAGCACTTAAGAGTAGAAATTGGGAAAGTTGTCTGTTTGGATCATATTTCCTCAGAATCCTCAAGGCAGCATAGCCAGTAGATAGCTTTTTATTAAAAAATTTATGCAACCATCCCAGTTTCTAGACTATAGGCTAGGAGACTTTAAAGGTTGTTGTTTATAAAAAGTAAGAATGAACATGGGTAAGAATGTACGAAAAAGAGTTACCAGCAGTTCCAGGATGGGTCAAAGACAGTCGGGTCTGGGGCACTGTAGAGGGATTGATAGTTTCTTCCATGTCATTCAGTCCCAAAACACCACAGAGGGGAAGGAAGGCTTCTCCCTCCAGATCATTGGCTCCTAAGGTGTCATAATCAAAGACTGTGAGCAACAGGCATGACCCATCTTGTTGGCATTTTTCTGGAGGGACCAAACTGTAAGACAAACAAGGTAATCTTAAGTACAGTTTGCAAAAAAAAAAAATCTCCAAAAATCTTTCAATTAGTAATTTTTCCAAGTTCTTATAATGACCACTACAAGGCAGACACAGGAGCTCCAAGGTGATTGGGAACCGCATCAATCAGGCAATTCGTAGATGCTACAGCAGTAACCTCAAGCCAGTCCAACTAAAAGTGGAAATTAACTATTTATTTATTTATTTATTTACTTACTTTATTTGTATACCGCTGTTCTCAGCCCTTAGGCGACTCACAGCGGTTAACAACAGAACAGCAAAAATACGATACTACAGTACACGGTAAAAAACAGTAACATCATAACACCTTATACAATCCTATGTAATTAACAACAATAGCCATTCATTGGCGTCTCATCACTGAAAACATGATCCAAATCTGTCATCCATTGTTCCATTCCTATGTTCATTACACTCATTGCACTAACTATTCGAACGCTCGAACAACCAGGTCTTCACTTTTTTGCGGAATACCAATAATGATGGAGCTAGTCTAATATCTGTGGGAAGGGCGTTCCACAGCCGAGGAGCCACCACCGAGAAGGCCCTATCTCTCGTCCCCGCCAGCCGTGCTTGAGGGCGGGATCGAGAGCAGGGCCTCCCCGGAAGATCTCAAAGTCCTGGTGGGTTCATAGGCAGAGATGCGGTCGGATAGGTAGCTTGGGCCGGAACCGTTTAGGGCTTTAAAGGTCAACGCCAGCACTTTGAATTGAGCCCGGTAGCAAATCGGCAGCCAGTGAAGTTGGCGCAACAGGGGGGTTGTATGCTCCCTGCGTTCTGCTCCTGTTAGAATCATGGCTGCCGAACGTTGGACTAGTTGAAGCTTCCGAGCTGTCTTCAAAGGCAACCCCACGTAGAGAGCATTGCAGTAGTCTAAACGGGATGTAACCAGAGCATGGACTACCGTGGCCAAGTCAGACTTCCCAAGGTACGGGCGCAGCTGGCGCACAAGCTTTAGCTGTGCAAATGCTCCCCTGGTCACCGCCGAAACCTGGGGTTCCAGGCTCAGCGATGAGTCCAGGGTCACACCCAACCTGCGAACCTGCGTCTTCAGGGGAGTGCGGCCCCATCCAACACAGGCTGTAACCCTATGCCCTGTTCGGCCTTACGACTGACCAGGAGTACTTCTGTCTTGTCTGGATTCAATTTCGATTTGTTCGCCCTCATCCAGACCGTCACAGCAGCCAAGCACCGGTTCAAGACCTGGACAGGCTCCTTAGTAGCAGGTGGAAAGGAGTGACAGAGTTGGACATCATCCGCGTACAGATGACACTGTACCCCGAAACTCCGGATGATCTCCCCCAGCGGCTTCATGTAGATGTTAAACAACATGGGAGACAATATTGAGCCCTGAGGAACCCCACAAGACAAAGGTTGTGGGGTTGAACAGGTGTCCCCCAGTAACACCTTCTGAGATCGACCCTCCAGGAATGACCGGAGCCACTGCAAAACAGTACCTCCAAGACCCATCCCCGCGAGGCGTCCCAGAAGGATACCGTGGTCGACGGTATCGAAGGCCGCTGAGAGGTCGAGCAGCACCAACAGAGACACACTCCCCCTGTCGAGCTCCCGGCGCAGATCATCCACTAAGGCGACCAAGGCTGTCTCGGTACCATGTCCCGGCCTAAAGCCAGACTGTGCCGGGTCTAGATAATCCGTGTCTACCAAGAATACCTGGAGTTGTGAGGCCACCACACGTTCCAAGACTTTGCCCAAAAAGGGGAGATTGGAAACTGGCCGATAGTTGTCAAATTTAGTGGGGTCCAGTGATGGTTTTTTCAACAGCGCTTTTATTATAGCTTGTTTTAAGCTCGCTGGAATCTTGCCTTCCCGAAGGGAAGCATTAACCACCACCTTAACCCACTCAGCCAATCCCTCTGGCCTCCTTTAGAAGCCAGGATGGGCAGGGGTCTAGGATGCATGTGGTAGCTCTCATTCCTCCAAGCACCTTGTCCACATCCTCGGATTGAACCAATTGAAATGAATCCATCAAAACCGGACAAGCAGGTGCTCGTGTTACATCCTCAGAGACTGCCGTTAATATGGTATCCAGACCAGAACGGATCAAAGCGACTTTGTCTGCAAAGAACTGAGCAAAAGATTCACAGCGAGAAGTCGAATTGTCAGGGTTCCCACCTTGAGTGGTGGGATTTAACAGGCCTCTGACAATTCGGAACAGCCCAGCCGAACGGTTCTTTGCAGACGCAATAGTGACTGCAAAGAAAGCTTTCTTTGCTGCTTTTATTGCCGTGGCATATGCCCTTAAAAAGGAAACAAACCGTGTTCGATTTGGCTTGTTCGGATCCGAACGCCACACACTCTCTAGTTCCCTCTTCCTTCGCTTCATCGCTGCCAGCTCCTCGGTAAACCAGGGAGCTGGTTTAGCTCGGCTACTTGAGAGGGGACGTTCCGGAGCGATCGTGTCAATTGCCCTAGTCATCTCCCCATTCCAGAGAGCGACCAGGGCCTCGACAGGGTCACCTACCAAGGCGGCGGGAAACTCCCCAAGAGCCATCAGGAATCCATCCAGATCCATAAACCTCCTGGGGCGGACCAACTTAATGGGTCCTCCACCTCTGCAGAGGTTAGGGGCTGCAGTGAACCTAAAGCTGACCAGGAAGTGGTCAGTCCATGGCAACGGAGAGATGGATAACTCCTCGACACTGCCACCTTCCTCCCATCCCTGGCAGAAAACCAAGTCCAATGTATGTCCTGCACTGTGAGTGGGGCCAGATACTTGTTGGGACAGCCCCATGGTTGCCATGGCAGACATGAAGTCCTGAGCCGCTCCTGAAAGGGCCGCCTCGGCATGGACATTGAAGTCCCCCAGCACAAGGAGCCGCTGAGACTCCAATGCCAGGCTCGAGACCACCCCCGCTAGGTAAGGAGACTGTAGTGCAGCGAGGTGGACGGTACACTAACAGAATCCCTATTCTGTCCCGGTCACCCACTCTCAAGTGGACGCATTCAAAATTTGTTGACTGTGGGATGGGACCCCTGGTCAGGGGGATGGAATCTCTATAGACCACTGCAACCCCACCTCCCCGCCCTGCGGATCTCGGCTGGTGCTGCACGGAGAAGCCTGGCAGGCAAAGCTGGGTCAAATTCACGCCTCCAGCTTCGTCCAACCAGGTCTCCGTGATGCACGCCAGATCTGCCCGTTCATCCAGGATTAAATCCTGGATGAAAGTTGTTTTTCCATTGACAGATCTGGCGTTCAACAGCACCACCTTCAATCCAGAGGGACCGCCATCCTGATTACACCAATTTACCATATCAGGAGACCGGTTTGGAATTACTAATGTTGTTACATGATCCCTAGGCCGAATTAATGGTCTCCTTTTCCCGCATCTCACTACTATGGCCTGTGCTCCTCCAAAGATAATGAGCCTGGAGAACAGAGAGGCTGCAGACAGGTAAGAAAGGCAACTGTTCATACGTACAATTCAAAAACTTCATCAAAGAGAGGATGGAGATTGTTCTTTATGCACTGAGTTGTCCGTGCCACGACCTCAGGAAACTCATGCCGAGGCTCCAAAGTGAGTTGGATGAAGGGATCACTTGAGCCTGGAAAAGTCAGGATGTGAGAAGTTAGAAGAAGCAAATCATAAAGGGCATACCACTCCACCCTGGAACATTTGTTCCTCTGGGTGTAAACCATGTCTTCCAAGATGACTTCTGGCTGGATCTTTCTATTCCCACTATGGAGTGTTTTGTCAGATCATCTTTTTCAGATAACAGGAATGGAAACCAAGAGTAACTAACATGGCCAATCCTTCCAGCAAGCAAATTCCTCAGGCTGCTCAGTCACAGAGGCTCAAATCTACAAAGCTTATTGAAAGAGTGCCTGGTTCCAGCTATCTCAGCACTGTCTGCAATGGCTCTCTAGCAAGTGGTCTTTCCTAGCCATGTTAATCAAAATCTTTTTAAAATGGAGATACTAGGGACAGACTCTTGAATTTTCTGCCTACAATATGGATTTGGGTCAATGCACTAGAACTTGGAAAGTTTAAGAAAGCAATCCCAAGAATTCCCCAATCGGTGGTCATGTCTAGAGAACTCTGGCAATTGTAATCCACAAAAAAGGACACTATCTACCTGTCAGCAAATATGGAAAACAAAAGATTGGAAAAGCTCAACATACAAAAGGGGATTCCAGGGATTGCAGTAACCACCATACCACTGCATTAATATTCCATGTTAGCAAAGTGTTGCTCCAAATTCTAAAACAAAGACTTGGAGCGAGAAATACCAGATGTCGAGTGTGGGTTCAGGAAAGAAAGGCATTTGGATCAGGGATCTTATTGCACATGTATGTTGGGCATTGGAGTGCACAAAAAAAAACTCCTTTGAATCTTTCTGTGAAGAGACAGTAATGAAAGGGCTATTGTGAGTACCTTGACCAACTTGCCTTCTTTTGCTGGAAGACTGTTATACTGTGTTTATTTTACCCACATGGCAGAGGAAAAGCTTTCGACGTGAATGTCGGAGCTTATGTCGTTCCTCTTCCAATGGAAGAGGAACAAAATGCTACAGTATCTTTTTCATAGTGTTGCCGTACGTTGACGTTGATTTGAGGGCCATTAACTACAAGATTCAGTATGTGTATCACACATGCATGCGCTATATATAGAGGAAGTAGGTCACACGTGCTTTTCTTCTGGCATAAGAGTGGATTGTGCAGCAAACTGCTGAGTCAGATTTTTATTTATTTTATTCAATTTATATCCCAACTTCCTCTCAGGATGGGAAACAAAGCAGATTTCAACATTTTAAAATGGATTCTAATCTACAAAATATAGATTTCTATTTCTTTGCATTTAGGCTGATGCAGAATCCAGGACAATGTTGCGATAGGAGCATCTCACTTGCTCCTCTTTTCCCCAGACAAATTAATTGTTTCCTTTTGCTTGTAATGAGAAAAAGTCACTCTGTAGTCGGGTCATTTGGATGTGTATGCACCAGGCCCTCGCCATTAGGAACCCCAAGGAAAGAGATGTACGGACCTGCCCCTACACAGAGGTAGACATCAGAAATTTCCCTGTCCATTGCTGTATATAAGATCTGACTGCCAGGCTGTCCATTGCTGTATATAAGATCTGACTTCTAACTTCCTCCATAAATGAACTGAGGGAACATTGATGTTTCCCAGAGAATGGATAAACAGATCCTCCAAAATCAAAATAACTAGTCTAGGAAAGCCAGGTCTCCTTAAATGGTAAGCTATATGCATTAGGTTACCCTTGTTCATCTTGTTAGGTTGTGATTATACTCAAGCCCAAAAGCAAAATGCACTGTGCTGATCAAGAGTATCCCAAAATGCAGTTGGATATTAAGAACCAACAGGTAGCAATGCCAAGGGTTCAGGAAACTTGGATCACTGGTGGAAAGGGACAGAGCATACCCCTGCATAAGGGAAATGACAACTGTTATCAAGCCTTATATTTCTTTGGTCCTAAGGCTCACTTACCATTGGAGTCTAGCGGAAGCAGATTGACAGCATTGAGTACTTCAATGTGCAGCTTTTGTTCTGAATGGCGGTAGAGGGCTTTAATGGTCACAGCTCCGTATTTGTCAGGACTAGCCTCCATCTAAGATGAAAGAACAACCAGAGGAAGGGTCAAGAATAATGAACAGTCCTTAGAAGTCCTTGTTTTCCTATGCCAGAGGTAGTAATCATGCAAATCCCAACAGCCATAGCCAGCATATCCAACAGTGAAGAATGCTGAGGGCTGCAGTCCAACAATATCCGGTTCCCTATTCTTGCCCTATATTGTTTTGTAATCCAAGATAGCTCCTAGCATCATCATTCCATCCATCAATATGCAATGTGTTATTTCCTATAGTGAGGGTCAATTCTGTTGTTCATTCATAAACGGGGAGAACCCGGCTCACTTAAGTCATACCTGCTGCTGGATTCGGGCACTGAAATATTTCTGAATTAGTCTTTTGCTGCTGGAAGAGCAGAGGTCCAACTCCTTTTCCAGAGCCTAGGAGAGAAATGTGTGAGGTCAGAACTGATCTAAATTGGCTGTTCTTCTGGATGTGGAGAGAAAGGGGTGCAGAAACACAGAAGTGTTATAATTCGGGTGCTTCCAGCCAAGGGGCTTTGTGGGACTACCTTCCTGGAGTTGTACTATAAGCTGATGGTGGAACTGCAATTGACATCCAATACGATTGGCAATTTTAAATGGTATGGGGTTAATTGGGGGCTCAGAGAAAACCTGTGGACTGCGCCAGCCCTGGAAACTGAGATAAAATAATAGGAAAGAAAAGCAGAAATTGATACCGACCCACTTCCAATTTCTTTTATTTTCGTTTACATTTTGGAGAGGAAAGGTTAGAGAGCCCTATGCCCTACTTAAATGCAAAACCATTTCCCTTGGAACCTCAAAAGCATTCAGAGACAGATAGATGATGCAGGTGAAATAAATAAAAACAACTAAACAATCTTGGTGGATCAGAGATCCCCAAGCTGCAAAAACAGCACCAGGGCTCCTGGATGTCCTGCGTCACACTTTGCCTATTCATTTCTTACACTTTCTGGAGAGAATTTGGTCCTAAACATCATGTGTTACTACTGCTTCAATGTATAATAGAACTTGCTTTTCTTTCCCTGCCAGCCTTCAGCATCTCTGGAAAATCAACACCAGAATGCTATCCAGCCTATCTGGAGTATGTGTTTGGACTGCATGGGGACTACCTGCAGGGAGGATAATTCCATAAACTGATGCTTATGTTTCAACCAGTAAAATGGCCATGACATGGCAGTCATTCACCCAGTTCTCGTAAGGCTGGCAATAATTTGCTTCAGTGGATGTTCAAACAGTTTTGTTTGGTCAGTGAACAAGACTCCCGAGGAGCAAGAAGGGAAGAAGGTACATTCTCTTCAAGGATACTATTACCATTCTCCACCAGAGAGAACACCTTCAGCAACATCTTGTGAATGTCGTGTACCTCCCCCCACCCCAAAATGATCCACAGAGACTGTAGCACCTCACCATAAATGTGATAGTATGAAGAGTGTCCTTTGGTAGGCCACAGCCCTCGGCATGAAAACAGAGTTCCAAGCTCTATAGAAAGGAAGACAAAAGAAAAAAATGAGCAACTCTCAAGCTAAAGTGTACACTCTTTTTCCTCTCTTTCATACTCTGAAGTACCTGGAGAGCAAACTGCAATTTCCTGAAGTATCTCAAGTTGCTAGTTTTCTGTTTTACAGCCCCTTTCAGCAGTTCCAGGGTGTGATTCCACAGCATCCCTAGGAGACTAAGTAGGGATGAAGGAAAACGGATTACCACCATGACTATATTCCAAGGTTCAACAGATAGTAGTACAAATTGGGATGGACAGGAAAAAAAGCCAGTATGGGTTATCGGCTTCCTACCACCAGAATCTACACTCCTTGACGTTAAGTGTGATTTCAGTGGGGAATGAGACTGTACAGCTGAAAGGAGATGCAAGAATGGGGAAGGTAACAGTCATTGTAACAGTACAAAAGCTTACACCATAGACTTTTCAAGACCTGTCGTTCTAGAAACAAAGTAAGTTTGGAACAGGACCTGGGATGGTCACCCTCACAGACCTCTGACACATAAAGCATTTGTATAACCATTCACAAAAGCTGTTCAAAACACTACAGAAAGCTTCCTCATACCCCACCCTACTCCACATCCCTTTATTTGTATCAGCTTTAGTCCCAGAAGCTAGAATTCCAGAATAAAGAAAAGATGCATCTCAGCACATATGGAATGGATTGAATATTATCAATTATAATTTCACAAATAGAAAATCCAGCTCTAGATGCAAAGGATGAAACAGGAAATAGAGACAGGGTTTGCTTTCTAAAATATGAGGAAACAAACCAGAAAGTCATGTATTGGATGTGGAAATCCATTAGATGTGGATTTCTTAGCTGAGGTTACTCATAGTAAAAAAAACAACAACTGGGCATCCTGCTACTGTTTATCTATAACTATTTCATGTTGACTCCCAGAGCAAGAGAACTCTTCACTCCCTCTCTCATCTCTGGGGTCCATTTGCCTTACTGCTCGATTGCCTTCTCCTCTCTTATCTGGATCTTGCTCTATACTTCAGCCTTGAGCAGCATAAGAATTATATTCACAGAGGGAGGAATGCCTTCCTTCTGCTGCCACTACCTAAGTGATATCCAGGCATCCTCCCATGATTCAAGAGAGAGGGAACCTTAGGCCTCAAGATGCCTTGTCCTTCAATTCCCAGAAGCATTAGCCAGTGTGGTTAATGGCTAGAGAATTATGGAAGTTCTGGTCCCAAAATGTCACTGCTACAATTACTTGGCTTCTGACAAGTTTCCAGGCTCAATTCAAGGTACAGGGTATTAACTATAAAACCCTATAAACTTCAGCCCAACCTATCTTTGAGACCACATCTCTTTCTATGAACTAGCACAGGTTTTGAGATCATCGGGAGGCCCTTCTCTTGGTCCCACCACCATTGATGGGGACGAGAAAGAGGGCCTTCTCTGTGGTGCCTCCCCGGCTCTGGAATACCCTCCCCGGCTCTGGAATAGGTTAGACCCCCACCCTTGAATCTTTCTGATCCAGCCTAAAAATATGGATTTTTAAACAGGATTTTGACCTCGAGTAGGCTGAAATGGGCCCATATGAGGTTGACACTCTGGCACTTCAGTTGTGGATTGATGGCAGCTAGTTTTATCTATAGATGTTCTGCATTTTAAAAATTGTGCTCTTTTTATTATATGTGTTGATAGTGGTCATTTTTATAATTTCTATGTGATACAGTTTTATACTCATGTACTGTTTATGTTAGATACTGCTCCTTGGAGTGCCTTTGTAAGCCACCCTAAGTCCCTTTGGGGAGATGGTGGTGGGATATAAATAAAGTTTAGTATTATTACTATGAGAATGGGCTTCTATTGACAGTTGTACAAATTCTACTTTACCTGCTATGGCAATATCATGTGGAATCCTGGTATTTGTAGTTTAGGGAAGGATGTTTACAATGTTCAGTTAAATGTTCAGTTACTTCACTGAACAACAAAACCCAGAATCTCACAGGATGTTGTCATGGCGGTTGAAGTTGAATCAGAATGAAAGGTCCCTGACTTCCATTTGGATATATTTCAGTCCAGAAAATGATCTTTACAACACTCAATATCCTTGGCTTACCTGTTAAAATTCTCCTGGACCAGGTTTGCATTTAGATATTGGAGCTCATGCTCCAAGAATTTCATTAAAGGAGTGATGCTCTAGAAAGAGAAGAAGAAGAATATCACGCAAAGCAGAGAAGACAGATCACTTACATCCCCAGCCTTATGCAATCTAAATGGACAATTTCAGCAAATTCTGCATGGCATGGGCCTATTAAGTGCCTTCTGTTGGTACTATTCCCGCATGGCCAGCATAGCATTTAAAAGCTTTTTTTTACTCTGTGTGTGCTGACTCATGCACTGGTGAAATCTAACCCAGCTGCACAGCCACCATCTGGAATATGCAATGGTAGCATTAATGCACATACATGTGTTTGAATTGGCAAGATGCTTTAAAAACATACAACCCGCTGTGTGGAACACTGCACGGATACATAATTTAAGTCAGCCTGAAAAGACCATTCAGTCTGGATTCTACAGGAAAGGATTGCTAGCTTCCCCCTGCGGCCTTGTCTCATTCAAATCAGGAAAGAGAAAAGGCTGATTGTGTGGGATGTGTTCTGATAGCAGTTCTACATCAAACCACACAAAAGTCCATAATATAAACTGAATAATAAGCCTAGACCTATGTAGAATTACTTAAGTAAACAATTAGCCTAGGTGAGAATTTTTTTTTTTAAAGGACACAAGCACATCTTAAAACTGGTAGCTAGAGGAGATATCCCAATGCTAATTCTGTTGCCATCATCTAAAAGCAGATGTCTTTGTTATGCCCATGGATCACTGGTGTGATTTCTTTTTCTTTTTTTTTTTACATGAACAGAGATACCCAAACACAACAAGGACCAAGTACCAAAAGCACAATAATCCCAATTAAACAGCTCAAGGGAAGATCTCAGGGGCTCACATGTCTTTACACTAATGCACAGAGCATGGGAAATAAACAAGACGAACTCCAACTTTTAGCACAACACCACAAATATGATATCATAGGGATCACTGAAACCTGGTGGGATGACTCCTATCGCTGGAATGTAGATATCGAGGGGTATAACCTCTTTCACAGAAACCGAACAAAGGGGAGAGGAGGCGGAGTAGCCTTATATGTCAAAAACTCTTATGCTGCAGAAGAGATTCAAGACGGCAATCTGGGAAACCAGCTTGAAATCATCTGGATAAGAATCAAGGGAACTGGGACTCAAAAAGATGTCGTTGTAGGCGTCTACTACAGACCCCCAAGCCAGGAGGAAGAACTTGATGAAGTCTTCTGCCAACAGTTGACCAAAACAGGCACAAAGAAGAGTAGTAGTAGTCATGGGCGATTTTAACTATCCCAATATTTGCTGGAAAACAAACTCGGCCAAGAGTACAAGGTCCAACAAATTCCTCGCTTGCCTTGCAGACAATTTCATGGTCCAGAAGGTAGAAGAGGCAACAAGGGGATTGGCTACTCTTGATCTCATCCTAACAAATGCGGAGGACATGATCGATGCGGTCGAAGTGGTAGGATCCTTAGGGGCAAGTGACCATGTGCTCCTGCAATTTGAGGTACAAAGGAAGGCCGAAACTAAGACAAGTCAAACCCGCATTTTGGACTTTAGGAGAGCTGATTTCCAAAAAATGAAGGAAACACTGAGAAGCATTCCGTGGACACAGATACTAAAAGACAAGGGAGTTACGGATGGATGGGAATTTCTCAAGAGTGAAATACTCAAGACGCAATTGCAAACCGTGCCAACAAAGAGAAAAAATAGGACAAGTGCAAAGAAGCCAGAATGGATGTCCAAAGAACTTCTAACTGTGCTAAGACACAAAAGAGACATGCACAAGAAGTGGAAAAAGGGAGAAATCGCCAAAGAAGAATTCAAACAAATAGCCAACACCTGAAGGGAAAAGGTCCGCAAGGCTAAAGCAAAAAACGAGCTCAGACTTGCCAGGGACATTAAAAACAATAAAAAGGGCTTCTATTCTTATGTCAGTAGAAAAAGGAAAAACAAGGAGGCGATAGGACCTCTTCGCGGAGAAGATGGGGCAATGCTGACAGGGGATAGGGAAAAGGCAGAACTACTTAATGCCTTCTTTGCCTCGGTCTTCTCACAAAAAGAGAGTCTTCAACCTCAGCAAGATGGAGTGGATGAGGGATTGGAGGACATCCAACCCCAAATTGGGAAAGAAGTCGTCCAGGAATACCTGGCCGCTTAATGAGTTCAAGTCCCCAGGGCCAGATCAACTACACCCAAGTATTGAAGGAACTAGCGGAAGTCATTTCAGAACCACTGGCAATTATCTTTGAGAGTTCTTGGAGAACGGGAGAAGTTCCAGCAGATTGGAGGAGGGCCAATGTGGTCCCAATCTTCAAGAAGGGAAAAAAGGATGACCCAAACAACTACCGTCGGTCAGCCTCACGTCGATACCGGGCAAGATTCTGGAAAAGATTGTTAAGGAAGCGGTCTGCAAACACTTAGAAACAAATGCAGTCAGCGCTAATAGTCAACATGGATTTATCAAAAACAAGTCATGCCAGACTAATCTGATCTCTTTCTTCGATAGAGCTACAAGCTGGGTAGATGCGGGGAATGCCGTGGATGTAGCGTACCTGGATTTCAGTAAGGCCTTCGACAAGGTCCCCCCATGACCTTCTGGCAAGGAAACTAGTCCAATGTGGGCTAGGCAAAACTACGGTGAGGTGGATCTGTAATTGGTTAAGTGGACGAACACAGAGAGTGCTCACTAATGCTTCCTCTTCATCTTGGAAAGAAGTGACGAGTGCCGCAGGGTTCCGTCCTGGGCCCGGTCCTGTTCAACATCTTTATTAATGACTTAGATGAAGGGCTAGAAGGCATGATCATCAAGTTTGCAGACGACACCAAATTGGGAGGGATAGCCAATAGTCCAGAGGACAGGAGCAGAATTCAAAACGATCTGGACAGATTAGAGAGATGGGCCAAAACTAACAAAATGAAGTTCAACAGTGACAAATGCAAGATACTCCACTTTGGCAGGAAAAACGAAATGCAAAGATACAGAATGGGGGACAATGCCTGGCTCGAGAGCAGTACGTGTGAAAAAGATCTTGGAATCCTCGTGGACAACAAGTTAAACATGAGCCAACAATGTGATGTGGCGGCAAAAAAAGCCAATGGGATTTTGGCCTGCATCAATAGGAGCATAGTGTCTAGATCTAAGAAAGTAATGCTACCCCTCTATTCTGCTTTGGTTAGACCACATCTGGAATATTGTGTCCAATTCTGGGCACCACAATTCAAGAGAGATATTGACAAGCTGGAATGTGTCCAGAGGAGGGCGACTAATGATCAAGGGTCTGGAGAACAAGCCCTATGAGGAGCGGCTTAAGGAGCTGGGCATGTTTAGCCTGAAGAAGAGAAGGCTGAGAGGAGATATGATAGCCATGTATAAATTATGTGAGAGGAAGCCACAGGGAGGAGGGAGCAAGCTTGTTTTCTGCTTCCTGGAGACTAGGACGCGGAACAATGGCTTCAAACTACAAGAGAGGAGATTCCATCTGAACATGAGGAAGAACTTCCTGACTGTGAGAGCTGTCAGCAGTGGAACTCTCTGCCCCGGAGTGTGGTGGAGGCTCCTTCTTTGGAAGCTTTTAACAGAGGCTGGATGGCCATCTGTCAGGGGTGCTTTGAATGCAATATTCCTGCTTCTTGGCAGAATGGGGTTGGACTGGATGGCCCATGAGGTCTCTTCCAACTTTGATTCTATGATTCTATGATTCTATGATTCTTCTTGATCAGTTCAGAAATGGCTTTAGCTACTTGGTCAGTATTTGTCTTTGTGGCTACTGATAACAGCTTCCTGCCCCTCTTCTACAGCTACCTAATACATTGTGCCAAAGTCTGAAAACAGATTTCAAGACTCACATCCTCTGGGTCCTTGGAGTCACTGGAGGCTGACAATTCCTGGATGTGCCTGGCAATTCCAGCATCCAGCTGCCAAAGAAAACACACAGGCTTCATATTACTAAGGAGGGATACTTTGAATACATACAAATTGACATCAAACAGGATGACCAGCACTCCACGAGCTCCCATATTAAAATTGGGTTGGGTGGTTGGGCAGTTACTACTGGGGCAGAGCTTGGAAAAGTTACGTTTTTAGACTACACATTCCATGTTTGACTCTTCATGTTGTAACCAAAAAGATCACATTTTGCTAGTTCTGAACAGGGTGTTGCATTCTCAAGCACTTTGCCCCCCTTTTCTGGCTCCCCCATCATCAACACAATCTAAGGGCTGTGTCTCATTGCAATGACAGTCTTTAAGCACACAGAAACATAGTGGTATTAGTGAATTTTCCCCCGCATCTTGGCTCAATAATTGTTCAATGTTAGCACTTTGTTGATGCATGTTCCTGAAATTTTCTTCACAATCTTGGTTCCTAGCCATGTCTACCTTACCCAGAACATGTCCACTGTGGTGACCACCCCACCCCCTGCCACCTTTAAGCCATTGTAGTGTGCTCACAAGAACTGCAAACAACAGTGATATTAGATTCATGGGCATTTTTACTCCGTCAATGGAATGAGATGATTCAATCCAGATTCAAGAGTAATGTGTTTACAGGACAGCCATGCTGTCATGTGGCAAACCACATCAACAGGGGCTTTTAACTTACAATAATTCACTTTAGCAGCCTTGTGTGATAAAGTCCCAAGAGTAGAGACCTTTTGCTTGATCTTCATGCAATCCAAACAGGATAATCTGTACACCAGAAAGACATATCAACTGACCTGGGAGACTGAGTACCTTGTGTAAAGAAAACAAATGCTAAGTAGCAGATATTCATAGGAGAAAGGCAGGAAATTAAGTCTTCATGAAGAAGAGATGACTGACTGTTGCCATCCTAAAGAGTCATGCAGCAGAGCATGGTGTCTAGGAGCAGCAGCTGATGCAGCCCCTGGGACAAAACTTACCAATGTTTGTTTGTTTGGGGTTTTTTTGGCCTGTAATTTTCAGAATCCCATGCCCAGCAGGCCACTGCCAATGATGGCAGGGCAATTGGGAATGTTCTCATCCTAAAAGTAACTTTCCCAAGTTCTGCACAGAGACCCTCAAAAACAGAGATATCCCTGGGAAGGAGCATATATTTGTTATTTGACGCATTCCTTTCTGCTTTGGACAAAGAGTTATATCCACAAGGGCATGTAAGTTTCCCATCCACAACCACCACTCTCAGTCCCAGCTTGTGCAACACTGACAGGCTAGCCCACAGTCTTTCAAAAAAACTGCCTGAGTAAAAGAAGAATGCCTAGACTATGAGGTTACTTTTGTTCCCAGAGTCTGGACCACACTTCGGATCTCGTTGTTGAGGCAGGTGACAGTAGCTTGAAGCTGGTGGTGGAGAGTGTTCTGGAATTGCTCTGGGGCAATAACTTCCCTGGTCTTCTGCTCCAGACGTGACCAGTCCAACTGCGAAGGCAACTTCAAGATCATTATCCGGAGCTGCTCAATGTCGTTCACCACAACACAGAGCTATGAAGAAATTAGGGAGAGAAAAAGAAAAGGAAGCTCTCTTAAGGAAATGCCAAGCTTTATGTACTCTGTAAAGATAACATGGGCAGCTCACCTGTTTCTTTTTGGTGTGGAAGACAGTCTTACACCCCGGCCATACCTATCTGTATGAAGGGATAACCTCAAGATTCCTTGAACCCTTGGTCATAACATAACTCCACCACTCACCTTGTTGGCTGCTTCTCCCTCCTCATGTTGGTTTGCTGACAATTCCTCAGCCCTTTTTTTGAGCAACCGGCAGTACATCAGAGCAATTTTACACATGTCCTAAGGAGACAGAAACAAGAAAGCTGAGGATACTGTAGCTTGGTAAAAGGGAAGTAATGTTTGACATACCAGAAATACAGGGTATCTATTAAGCCTTAAGGGATAGGAGTTTGAAATGTCATTATGCAAATTCATTTGGATGTGTTGCTTGGTTTGCTTTGTTTTTATAATTACAGGGACACTTTGATGTTAATTTTTAGCAGCATTTAAAAAAAATATTGCAAATGAATGTGGAAATGGGATGGACCAATAGGTGGATGCAAATGAAAGTGACAAAGATAAATCTGCTTTCCCTTCTGTCTACACACCTCAACAAATTTCACCATGATCATAAAAGCCTCTTCAGGATCTGGCCAGTCCAGCTGCTGCCAGGTCTTCACCATCTGAGCATAACAAGTGGATAAATCCACAGTGGATGTACTGTGCTTATTCATCTCCCCCAATGGCATAAGCTGAGCAGAAATGAAAAGTTTAAAATGTAGAAATAATACAATTTCAGGTGCAAAATCCACTTTTAAATGCTTCAATCTTTTGGGGGCTTGAAGATTAAGAAAGACAATTATCACTTAACCCAGAATGTTTCAGTTGATTACATGTTTGTTTGTTTTAAAAAAATGTAAATGTGGTGTGTCCTTCTATTGAGAGAGAGGTAGGATAACAACAACAACAACAACAATTCCCAGTTCAGCAGACATTTATGTCATCTAAATAAGCACAACACCAAATGCAATAGATCTGTGAATAGAAAGAAGTGTCAATCCCTTCTGTTCTTCTTCATCCATGCAGCTTGTTTGCAGTGGCATAATCTAGAATTTTATTTTTACGTTACATACGAATTAAATAAGGAACAGCCCAGCTCTGGAATAGACATGACAGAGATGAAAGGCATCCCTCAATTACTTTTCTCACTCTTCCCATTAAGAGTGGGAAGACAGTTGGGGAAAAGCCTACAAGAGAAACTAGTGAGACCATTATTTTCCCCTCTTACCAGGGGTGGGTCCATTACCTGGTCTACTTGGACAGCCCTCTGAGTCCTTTCAAGGGCTATTGTGTATGCCTTCTGCAACCATTTGGGGATGAGCTCCTTAAACCACTGGTGGAAGTTTGCCAGTTCAAGAGGACTTTCTCTGAGGAAACAAAAGCAGAATTAGCTCTTACATAACATGAGAGATTCAAGAATAGGAAAACACTTATTACTTAGCACAGGCATGGGCAAACTTTCAGGTATTTTGGACTTCAGCTCCCACAATTCCTAACAGCCAATAGGCTATTAGGAATTGTGGGAGTTGAAGTCTAAAGCACCTGGAGGGCCGAAGTTTGCCCATGCCTGACTTAGCATAACCTTGGTCATTCCAGCCAGTTTTGCTCTACAGGGATTGGTAAGCCAAGTTGGATACAACGAAAGGAAGCCTGTCTCAACAAAGTCTACTTCATGTGTTCACATAGAAGCAAATTCACAAAATTATGGTAGATATAAGGACAGCTTTTACATACTGGGTAAAACACGTGAAACCATCCTAAGGCAAAGTGAAAAAGTCTGCAGGCAAAGCTTTGCCCTCAGTTGGAGTTTATACCTGTCGCTCACAAAGTCCTTCAAGCGGTAGAGTTCTTGCAGGCTGAGATAGAGCTGGAAAAGGCTCTCTGCTGTGAGCTGGGACACACCGCTGTCAATCTCACTCAGTTGCTTCTGGACATGAGAGGAAACCTGCAGCCGGATAACAAGAACCATACATGAGTCAAGGAAAAGACATGGTGAATCTACAGTGGCCCTGCTTCTTCAGGAACTACATTGCTATTCTTTTAAGCTCAGTAAATAGGCTCCCCTAATGAATTGTGACTTGGGTTAACTTTGAAAACACTTGTGCAGCTCCAACAGAACCATAAGAGAGTTGCTGCTTAAAAAAAAAAACCAGTGACATTATGAAACACCTTTGTAAGGGTCACAAGTTGAATTGGCCTTTCAGGATATGTATTGCATGGCTTGCAACCACGTTGTATAAGCAATGATGCTACCCCAGTCAAACACTTGTCACATGTGCAGGATTCACCACAAATCCTGTGTATCTTTTTCAATCATGCCATAGGAACAAGGCTTGTGAGAGAACTTTTGTAAGACAGAACAAGAGTGCTTTCAGGCCTTGGAAGGGTGCCTGTGTGCGTCTCTGAAAATTAAGGTCCAATTAAGGCCTATAAGAAGGAAATACTTTCCTGGTTACACCCATTTGTTGTTGTTTATTTGTTCAGTCACTTCCAACTCTTCATGGCCTCATGAACCAGCCCATGCCAGAGCTCCCTATCAGCAGTGGCCATCCCCAGCTCCTTTGAGGTCAAGCCAGTCACTTCAAGGCCCCTCTTCCTTTTTCCTTCCATTTTCCCCAGCATAATTGTCTTCTCCATGCTTTCTTTTCTTCTCATTATATGGCCAAAGTACTTCATCTTTGCCTCTAATATCCTTCCCTCCAATGAGCAGTCGGGCTTTATTTCCTGACGTATGGACTGGTTTGATGGCCTTGTGGTCCAAGGCACTCTCAGAATTTTCCTCCAGCCCCACAGTTCAAAAGCATCTATCTTCCTTCGCTCAGCTTTCCCTATGGTCCAGCTCTCACATCCATAGGTTACTATAGGTAATACCATTGCTTTAACTATGCGGACCTTCATTGCCAGTGTGATGTCACCACTATTTTATCGAGATTGTTCATTGCTCTCCTCCCAAGAAGTAAATGTCTTCTGATTTCTTGGTTGCAGTCTGCATCTGCAGTAATCTTCACACATAGAAATACAAAGTCTGTCACTGTCTCCATGTTTTCTCCCTCTATTTGAGGGAGAAAATGGTTACGGTGTAAAATAAACAGGTCCCAGTAAAAAAAAAAGCCAAGTAAATACCCAAAGAACTATGTTTGCTAACTTTTGCAAAACAATGGAATTGAAGGGAGGTGTGACATTTGGTGTCTTGGGGTTTTATTTTTTTAGGGAGGTCGGATGTAAGAAATCCATGGGACCCTCAGCCCCAAATTAATATACTGTATGGTTGATCCCCTCTTAGTAGTCAAGGCTCATAGCAACAAGAATTTTCAGCCTTTCAAGGGGAGATAGATTTGTCTATCAGCTCCTGTTTAGTTAGTGCCATTGTTTCCCACCTAATGAGTGAACCGACACTTGACTGAAAGAACAGTATGGAGCATTTCCTCCTGGAAAAGAGCTTAAGTCAATCTTCCCCAGCAAACTGGCTGGGGGTCTCAATGAGCAAGAGCCTTATTATCTGGATGGGGCTGAGCTGAGGAAAGGCTGGCATCATAGGCCTCTTGATGGTTGATTGCTTGCTTAAGTAGAATAATTTGTTGCAAGACTTATTTCAATCTGAGTACATCTTCTTTTCTTTTTTTACGAAAATTAACCAAGTGTGCATTAATATTTAACTTAGGAGTATGTTCTCTGGGCATCCCAAGCAGGCGAAGAATTGTTAAAGAGCAGTGCTGAACAGAAGAGCTGCCATTGTCGTCTGCTCTCCTGGGTGTAACCAAATTGTAGCAGTAGTAGTAATTATTGTTGTTATTTAAATACCACCAATAACACTATGTAACATGATATTTGTTCCTGGGTTATAAATGTCATCTCCTAATGAGTTCTATCATAAAAGCATGGCAGAAAAATTTATTAAACTGCAAAAACTTTGTTTTGACAGGATATCCTGCAGCACATTTTGCTATAGTTTTTCAATGAATTTCTCATTGAGACTCAGCCAATTCAAAACAGTTTGTGACAGTCACAAAAACAGAGTTTCTGGAGTATAGCAACTACTTTCAAAGTAAGTACTACACTGCACAATTAAACAGAAATAACACTTTCAAACTAGGAACAGAACATTTTTCAAATTTTGTTACATAGTGTAATGGGACTCAAGATGCCTTACAAAGTTGCCACCACAAATTAAAGTATTATGAACATTAGCTAGAGATGGCAATATATTGATAAATATACATATAACCAAAATTTTTTTAAAAAATCAATAAGAGTTAGAATATTTAAAAGGCAACATGTTAAAAAAAATCCACAAAGCAGCATAGAATTAGAAACCCACAACAGTCAATTTCAAAAAGGTCTGATGTTTTTACTTGCTGGTGGAAGAAAGCAAGGAGGGAGCGCTGCCTGCCTGGTACTGCTGAACCAATTTGCAAAAGTTTCTGTGGACTCTGAAGCTATGTGCAGAGCATCATCTCAGGATGGCTTTTTAAATCCTGAATGCTCTTGTACCCCACCCCCCCCCGGCCCCTTTAAGAACAACAGATTGCTCACAGAGTTTCTGTCTCCTACTCCTACAACACAGGAACAAAGTGTGGCCCTCCAGACATTGTAAGACAGCAACTCCTATCATCCCTTAAATGACCATGTTGGTCAGCAGGAATTACAAATCAAGAGCATCTGGAACATCACTGCAAGTTTTCCAGCCTTAAAAGTCCCTGCTGCCTCTCTGTCCTTCCCACTACACTCTATCTACCATGCTTGGGAAGGCCAAACAAAAATCCCTTGAGTAAAGAGCAACAAAGTTTTAGTTACTCACCAGCTCCTGCATTTCAAGATATGCAATTGAGAAGAGATCCACTCTCATGGTACTGCCCAGAAGCGAGAGGAGGGGAAAACAGTGGTCAGAGATTAGTTAAACTGATATGAAAGACCCCCAACTCCACCCCTAATAAAAAGAACACATAAACTGTATCCTGTGATTTATAGTTTTCTCAAGGACAGAGGACCGGATGAATGGAAACGTCCTCCATCCCCACAGTCTCCTCAGGGCCTCCCCAAAACCAGCAGCAACCTACCCAACGTGGCCCCCAAACCCCCAACATGTGCCCCAACCCAGCTGCTTGGTTTGGGTTGGTCCACTCCAGCTGATGTCTGCAGCCTTGGCAGAGATCAGTCAGCTGATCCTCTTCGCCTCCCAGCCAGGAAGTTGGCCAGATGGCCACAAAGTAACCCAAGTACCTCCATTTCCCAAGCCTCTGCTACTCTATATCCCTTCCTTCCTCATTACTATGTTTCTTTCTAGTTCTCAGTTTTATTAATTTTATTATTCTTTTTCTCTTCCATAAACGTGTAAAGGAACAGATGAGCAAAGCATAACAAAACATCACTAATGACCTGCTCAGCCACAGCAACAACATGGTATACTGTGTATACAATAGAGATCTGCAGCCAAAAAGCCCAAATCTAGCCCTCCCAGTTCCAAAACTGAACCCCCAGAATTGCAGTGGAAAGATCAGAGGGCTGCAAAAAGGATGTGATGCCAGCAACACAGACTGGCTAAAAATCCACTTTCCAGAAGGATGGAGAGGAGCCCTCCCTTTGCACTTTCCCTCATAAAAATAGATACATAAAAATAGATACTGTCAAAATAAATTGAAGAATTCCAAATTGCAGGGCGATAAATAATAACAAAATAAGACATTTGGGTGAGGAGAATGAAACAAAATACGCCCATGTGATTGCCAGGCCAGTTTCAGCCTGGATTTACTCATCCTTTCGGATTGAATGACAGCTACTAAGTGAAATGTATTTAAATTTGAGAAATGGGAAGATAGTCTGTCGTGCTCCAAATGATTTGGATTTCACGTCGCACAATCCCTTTCCATTGTCTAATCTGGTCAACGGATGAGAGGTAAAAATTCCTTGCTCCAGACTGAAATAGCTAAACAAGTAATGAAAGGAGGAGCACTGGAGTAGCATTCTGCGGTCGCTGTTTTTTGTTGATCTAGCCTCTATCAATGTTTTTAACAATTTGCTTCAACAGCTCTGTTCTTCCTCAGGTGCTAGACTTGATGGAATATTAGATGAGCAGAACAGGAGGAAAAAATCCAGAGACTCACCTGATGAAACATTTATTCCACATTTTGAGACACTGCTGGAGGTCTGCATTCACCTCCGCAAGAAGCTCAACCAGGGCCTTGCCACATTCCTCTGAAGTCTGAAAGGGCAGAGAATGGGTGGGTGGGTAAGTGGATGGAAGCCTTGGCCTGCGTTGCTTTGTTCCCAAAACACAAATGTCTATTAGACGCATGGATTTCTCACCCCCACCACCATCATCTCTTTCAGAGCACTTCTGAATTGCCATTCACACACCTGTTCCACACCTGGAACCATAACAGGAGTGTTATGGTTCCATTGTTAATGCAATGCTAAAATAAGCTTGCCTCGTCAACTTCACGGTAGCTTCCACCAGTCTTTCCTGACCGCCAAAGGTTTTGGCTTGTAACTCTCCTCAGCCCAGGCAAACAAGGCCAGTGGAGACAGATCATAAGAACTGAATTTCAGCACTACTGTTGACAGAAGTCTTTCCTAAGCACATTTTGTCCAGCCAAAGAACCTTCCCCACGTATATGTCTTCTTGAATAAGAAAAAAAAGGCCTTATCTAGGTCATTACAGATAGGCTTGGCATCATTGCCTAAGATTTCTGTAGCTTGCAGAAAATAGAGAGTGGCCTCCCAATGAATTCGTTACCACCCGAACTAAGACTGCTCAAGTCACATCTGTCTGTACAAACATTTACTCTGGGAAGTTAAACTCTGTGTTCTTAAGTGGAGAATCCTTATATTTTTCCTGTGTTGGAAGGATTAATGGAAGTTCGGTAAATGTCTATGACCTAGATGGCCCATTTTAGAGTCTATGAAACATACATCTGAATAATCTGGAAAATTCCCCAGAATAAACTCTGCTGCACTGCAAGATGTTTACCTTTACCATCGGCTTCAGGTGCTGCTTCTTCATCTGAAACCACTCTTCTGTTCCAGCCTAAGAAACAAGAACACAGAATTAAAAAGAGTAGTATGGTCTATGGTTTGAGTGTTGGACTACAGAACATGAGGGTTCAAATTCCATTCAGCTATAGAAACCCATTGAGTAAGCTTGGGCAAGTCATGCTCTCTTAGCCTATGAGAAACGCAGTGGTAAACCTTCTCTGAATAAGTCTTGCTAAGAAAACCCTATGATAAATTAGAGTCACCTTAAGAAATACAAAGCATTATGCTTAAAAATATGTAAAAAAAATAACATGTTTAGATAAATCTGAACAATGCATTATCAGACAGCAATTGACTATAGCAGGTAGTATACTGTTCAGCCAGTATTGCACCACCAGACATCCACCGGGAAGCAGCAGCCAATAGTGAAAGGCAGTGATATCTCCACCCCATCCTCTGTTCGGATATCAGCCAGCATGCCAATGCCTTAAATCAAGAAATAGTTTTCTAAAATCTACAGAGATATTTGCAGGAACACCACAGCAAGCAAGAGTCCGAAAGTGGCATGCTTAAACCCAGCACTTCAATCCATGGCTGATACCGGATGAGAGACTCTCCCCCCCCCCCCCCCCCCCCCCCCCCCCCCCCAGCACACAGAAGGCTGGGTGACTTGGAAGGCGCTGAACAGACTGCGCTCCGGCCCCATGAGATGCAGAGCCAACTTTAAGAAATGGGGCCACAAAGTGGAGTCCACAATATGTGAGTGTGGAGAAGAGCAAACCACAGACCACCTATTACAATGCAGTCTGAGCCCTGCCCCATGCACGATGGAGGATCTTCTCACAGCAACACCAGAGGCACTCCAAGTGGCCAGCTACTGGTCAAATGACATTTAGTATAATGCCAATTTTTTTTTAACTTTGTGTCTTTAAATACATTGCAACTGTACTCTCAATTCACTGCTGAGACGATAAATAAATGAACTAGAATAGATAATGTATTGCAGATAATGTTGTTGGAGCCCTCACCATGACAGATGTCCAAAAGTAACAAGGAAGAAGGGTCTAGCATCAAAAGTATATTTTTGAGCCCTCTGTAAAATGCAGCCCATTTAAAATACTTTATCTCTAAAGGACAACACACGTTTCCAAGAGAAAACAGCAGAAATAGATAACTCAGCATCCATAATTAGAAACCAGAATGGAAAACAAATGTAACCAGATCTGCCTCTTGCTAGATCCAGCTCTGCATTCAAGAAACAAACATGAATCAAAGTTTCAAAATTACCAAAAAGTACCAATTGCCTAGGAATGGTGGGCCTGAAAAATAAAGCATTAAGACCTCACCTCTGAGGATGCTTGCCATAGATGCAGGCGAAACGTCAGGAGAAATGCCTCTAGAACATGGCCATATAGCCCGAAAAAACCCACAAGAACTGAAAGCATGAAGACTTTCAATGTAGTCCTGTACCTTGAGAGACTCTTTCACCATTTGATGGAGGTCAGAGGTTTGCATAAATTCTCTGAAGGCTTTCATTTTACACATCTGGACCAAGACCCTGTGAAAATGGAGGTGAAACGCTGCTGAAATTCAATGCAATTCAAGTATGATTGTTTACACTTTTAAAAAACACAAGTGAAGGTTTGGGATTCTTCTCCCACAACCCATATAACAAGGCTTGCCACCTCTCTTCCAGGGAAGCAGTAAATGATACATGCACCATGGGTCCTTGTGAATTGGGATTTGGGGAAGCAGCTTTATGGAACCCACATTCTTTTCAGAGGAGCATTTCCAGAACTTTATGTGTTGTGTGTCCATGAGACATTGCTGACTTGGTCAGAAATGACTTGAAAGGTCACTAATGTAAACATACTACAAGATGTGTTTTTGGCAAGATTTGCTCAGAGGAGGTTTACTCTTGTCTTCTTATGAGGCAGAGAGTCCAAGGTCATCCAGTTGACTTCCATTAGCTGAGTGATAGTTTGAGTCCTGGTCTCCCAGAATCTAGTCCAACACCCAAACCACTACACCACCACACGGGAAAGGTCTATTCCATCCCTACGGCAATAGGCCTTTAGGACAGGTTTACATCTTTCCCCTATATCTCTCTAATATAGGAGAAAGATGGAAACCTAGGGAAGTGGTAGAATGTCTGAATACATCTTTGTGGGCAATTTCTGGATAGAATGGAGGACATGATTACAATATTTGGGATTCCCTTGTATTGTTTTTTTAAAAAATGCTTTAAAATATTTTTATCCAAATTCTCTCTAGGGAGGGGGTTTCCACTACATTTCCCCCTTCTCAGAATAATCAGCATTTCTTCAAAACAGGAAATGACTTACGCTTAACTACTGTTGTTAAAAAAAAGTCTCTCTTTTGGGTCTTAAATAACCCATTAAATAACATCTAATGACTTTGGTAAAAAGACCCCTAAGTGTTACTTCGTGACATTAAGGACAAAAAAGACATGCTTTTTGGTAGGGGCTGATGGTGAATGTCTCTTAGGGAATTAATGTGGCACTTTAATCTGATTCTTCTTTTTCATATACGTGGCACCTTATCTTTCCACAGTTTTCCATCTCTATTTGAAAGCTATTGGAAACTTTCCCATTATACCTAGCCATGGGGATAGCCATCTGTGGACCTTTTTAAAGCTCACCTGAGCAAAGACTGCAGCCTCTCTTTAGACTTGGGAGCGGAGAATGGGAAGACAATCCTATACCTCCGCAGGACAGAAAGTCCATATGCCAGAAAGGACTGGAAGGAGTCAGTCAGTTCTGTTTGCTGAAGAAAGCAACAACATATATCTTAAAACACACCTCTGGTAGATCCGGAGAGCACCCTTTGAGACAAAAAGAACCTCTGTTGACCAAGAAGGAGACAAAGGTACCCAAAATGCGGCTTCCCCGCTCCTCTGTCAATAGGGAGTGTCCTAATGCTCTCTGGCAAGGGCAATAGAAAGAGGGTTACAAAAGGAACTCAGACTGAAATTTTTAAAAATCATTATGTCAGGAGGTTAGGGTATGATCAGCCATTGCTAAGAGACACCTTAATGATAAGTGATTTGTCCATACATAAGCACAGCCTATATATGATGCTCTCTAAATTGCTACCAGCAAGAACCCCTTTTATGAGCCCTTCAACTCCATGCCTTTCTCTTCCTCACCTGTACAGGCCTCAACCGTCCTTCGACCCACTGATACTCTATGCTGGTGATGTAGTGGAGCAGGCAGTTGCTGTTGAACTCTAAGATCTGGTATAGCTTGCTGTAAGCCAGCCAGTGTCTGTATCAAAAAGAAGAAGAATCAGATTAAGCACTAAAATAATGAAGATAAACTGGTTATTGAAAGTCATGGCCACTAAAAAGGGAAAGGTCAAAATCAATTACAAACTCCAAAATCTCCAGTCCACAAACATAAAAATGTTCATTAAATATTTTATGTATTTTGCTCAAATTGGCCTGGTTTTCACAATTTCTCTCAGTTGTCAAAATCTAGGTGTTTGTTCAAGTTGAAACCAATTATGGCAGATGTTGGTGTAAAAGAAATAATTATTCAAATTTCTATACAATAGCAGTCCTGGAAAGTCTGTTTAAGGAGACTAATGTTGAAGATGTTGCAGTGCCATTGGCCATACATCAAGAAGATCTTCTTTAAAAGATAATGTGAAAGCATCAAGGCCTTCTAGGTCTAGTGGAAGAACTAGAAACATTTGTAAGAATGGATTGACAGTGGGGAAAAAACTGCCTCAGAGAGTGGTGAAGTTCCATCCCTGGAGGCTTTTACCTAGAAGATGGATGGGTCTCTTCCATGAATGCTTTGTTTGTGCATTTTTCATGGAAGGGGCTGGACTTTTGCGCTTTGAAACAGCACCCACCAATCACAAGACATGACTGCAAGCTTTAATTCAACTCTGGATCATCATTATAAAATAAGACAAGACTCATTACAGTGTTTGAAATATCATTTAGGGACCAAGAGGACCACAGCTGAGAATCTGAACATTTCAACGTTACTGTATTTCCAAATATGGCTGTCACAAGTGGAAGGCTGCAGTGGATACTTATACTTACGCCATGTCCTGGTGAAAATCTGAAAGGTCTTTCTGAGTAGCATGCAGGTGCAAGATTGTGTTAGCATGCTTGCTCAGCTCTCCATCCCAGGAAGTGCTGCCAGCCTGTGGAGAAGAACAACAAAATAGTTCCTGGTGAACTGAAAGAAAAAGAAACTGTAGGAGTTTTGTAAGTTGCTCTGCAAAACCCTATCAGCCAGCTGTTTTGCTTGGGACCATGGCAGTTTGCTTCATCCTAACTGCCATGGTCCCTTAGGAAAATCCACCTGGGTGTATGTATGTTGTGTCAAGAGGAAAGTTATGATCAGAATGGGAATGGCTCCTGGGCTCCTGGTATTGTTGCACCCAGATGTCTTTCCCACTGTTTAATTTAACACTTCTATTGCACAACAGAGACCTGGCTGGCACCAACACTGGTCTCTTTTAGGCACCAGGCTAAAATATGACTTTTTTATTCTAGACTTTGGGACCTATCCTATTAAAGCATGCATGTACACAGTTTTAGTCATTTCTATTGTTTTAACTGGTGGATTAATGAATGTGCTTTTAGCCCACTGAAATCATTCTGTTGTTTTTATCTGGAATTGTTCTAAACGGTTTACATTGTTTTAACTGTATGCTGCCCTGAAATCTCAAAGGACGGGGAGAACTATCTGAATAAATAAATACTTAAGAAAAGCATGCATTAATAAAGTCATCCTTCAAATACTCCTGAAGCAGGAGACAGCATTGCACAAACCGGAACCCTTACATATACCCCACATACAGCCATTTATGTTGAAGCACATGTACACAACTGATCCATGCTGGTGGTGCTAAAACCTTTTCAGTGGTACACACTGAAAATGTGACAACTCTGAAATAAATAGGAAAACCCAATTTTACTACACTTCACGGCATAGTATATGTGGAGACAAGAACATAAGCTGTACTATCTGGAGCTTACATGTCCACTATTCACTAGTTTTTAAAGGAGATGTGAACATTTCCATTTACATGGCATTTCATTTTTACCTTCCTGCGTATATATCCTATAAGTCATCCTATGGATGGACTTTTGTACACTAAGCTGCTAACCAGCCAGTCTACAACTTAATATTTTGTTGTTTTTAAATCCTCCTGGGATTTAGTGGGAAGAAGTAGTTAATGGCAACAAGAGTTGCTGCTGGAGAACAACCTTGTAGCTATACTTGTATGGAGAAACACCTCCTTGCCCTGTTGCAATCCTCACCAGTTCCCATTCAGCCTGTTCCTCATCCCTATTGCAATTGTGCTTACCTGATGCTGAAGAATCTCATAAGAAACCATCTGCTGTAGAAGGTGCCGGTGGACGATGTAGTTTGGCTGCATCTTGCTGGCACTAGTGGCCCTCTGAAAAAACAATAAAGCCAGGTATTTGGCTCTTAGAAAAATTGGGGTTTTCTAAGAGACCAACCCATTACCTTTCCAAATACACACATACTTCCAATGTATCAGAGAAGAATGGGAGTAGTCTATCACTGAGCATTCAAGCACAGTAACACATGTGAACCTAAGCATTTCAACATACTGGGGAGCAAAGCACTGTTTCACTACTTATTACAGATCTTATTTGCCTTTCTGCAAGAGCAAGACTCAAAACAGAAAACAGTATGTTAAAGAAAGCTTATGACATTAAAATACCACTTCCAGGCACCAGGCACAAAGCAGTGTCTTTGGGAAAATATCCAAAAATGGACTCATACTAATTTCATGGGGAATTTTCATAGGAGCACTGAAGTCAGACAAACCTCAGCCCTTCTATTTTTACAAGTATGATCTTTAAAGACTGCAGCACAAAACTCTGGGTCTTCTGTTGACTCTTCATGGCTAGTCTCACATCTCTATGCCAATGTTTATGGATTTTTCTTCACTTACCTTCTTATGAATTAAAAGAAACTGTAGGTGGCAGTGTCCTCGGTTGGGATAAGTTTCTGTACGAGGTTCCAGCTTGTACCAGCGGTCATCCCTGCAATGCAAGTCCTGTCCAAATGGGAAGCAAAAAATATCATTCGTAGTTTGAGTCCTGGCAATGAGTGAGAAGCACGATTACTGAATTGTGATAATACACATTTTAGCATCTATGCAGGCCTCAAAAAAAGAATTCCACAGATATATAAACCCAATTTTCCTAGTTTCTAATAGACCTCACAACCTCTGAGGATGCCTGCCATAGATGCAGGGGAAATGTCAGGAGAGAATGCTTCTAGAACATGGCCATATAGCCTGAAAAATCTACAACAACCCAAAAAGAATTCTGATCACTGACCTTTCATCTTCAACAATATTACAATCATTACTCAGTTAACTGGTTTGGTGTTAAATTACAAATTTAAATGTTGCTTTCTCATTTATTGGCAATCCTGGAGTGTAAGACATACTTCAACAAGGCTCTTCCCTGATGAAGGTACCTAGCACCCAATGCTAACCAAATGAATTTGCCGCATGAGGCACCACTCCTCATTCCAGCAATAAAAAACCAAAAGAAAGAAGTATTTAATAATTTTGTTACCCTTTCCTCACTACTCAGAACTGTGGCTTACAATACAAATCTCACTAGAGTTGTTTTGCTGCCTGGGAAGAACAAAATTATGTGTTCTTCCCTTCTCCTATTTCATGTACAAAAGCTGACTAGTTTGACAGTTGAATCTTTCTTTTGTCCTGACAATGAGACAATATCCTCCACCATTCTGGATGGCAGCAGGTTAGCATGCCTAAGGTTGCTAAATCTATACTCAATAGTTGCTATGGTAGTTTACATATTTCTCTAAGAGTTTAGGCACAGCATGTACTCATTTCCTGTTGGCCAGTCATAGCCACACATCCTCTCTTCCAGAATCAATTACTCTGCAGTTAGTTAATTCATTTTCCATGTTATAGTCTGCAGTGCTGTCACTTTCCTCCATGCCTGAAAAGTATGTGTTACATGAGACATCACAAAACCCAAATAACTTCATAACTGCTTTGACTCTTCTGGTGGAGAGAAAAAGTGGGGTATAAATAGACATTTATAATAATAATAATAATAATAATAATAATAATAATAATAATAATAATTTTAAATAAAAACAATTAAGCCTGCTTTATTTCTCTGTTACAACTTGTGCGAAGATGGGGTGCGACCAACTGTTGCTCATTCACTGCTATCTCTCATATTCTCCACAGGAAGCTGAGAGGGCAATGGGTAACCTCGATCACAAACAGCTTTCTTCTCCAAGACCTTACTATTACCTTCCAGCATCTACTGCCTGGGGTGACTACCTGTCTTTACCCATTGGGAGGTCAGCTCTATCTGCTACTAATTTGCTACATGGTCATAAGGCACTCCTAATTTTCAGTCAACCATTTTACTTGCTGAGAATTACAATGTTTGTCCACATCTGGAAGAACTAAGCCTGGCAAAAGGAAGACCAAGCTAACTGGGGGGAAGACACCACAAGGCATCCTTGTGACAACTCATGGCTCTCTTCCTCACCTGCAGATGGAGAACCACATTCCCTAGGAAGTCGTCCTGCCCTTTATCCTTTCGAGCCTCCTTAAAAATCCTGAGAGGGGGGAAAAGTTAGAGAAGAATGAACACTTATTTTATTTCATACCCTCCCCCCTAAATTAAGATAATTACAAAATAAGAAAAGACTGATTACTGGCACAAACCTCTTCAGGCCATGAAGGTCTGTTACTTCTCCCAGTTTCTGGCGTACAGTTTCAACTTCATCAGAATCCCTATAAGAGATAGACATCAATATGGGTGCTGATATTAATTAATATATGATTTGATCTGAGGCTGGTAGCTGCAGTGAGGCTAGTATTTATGACTGCACCAAAGGTCATGTCACCTACTTTTTGGTTTTATTGTCAGTCAGTTTAAGATGGGATTGATCGTTTTTGGTTTTTGAGGGGAGGCATTCAGTGAAGAAGGGATGTGGGAGCAAAACTTAGCAGTAATTTGCAGCTATTTTAATTATTATTATTATTATTATTATTATTATTATTATTTATTTATATTCTGCCCTATCTCCCCTGGGGGACTCAGGGTAGATTCCAACAAACAAAAAGGCAAACATTCATTGCCTCAATAATAGTAAATACAAACATAATAACCCAAAATAACCCCACATAAAGAGCAACTTAAGCATAGCAACTATAATCTAAAGAAAACATATTCAATTGAAAATTATGATTAACATAGAACTTGAATACAAAAACATCCAAATCAATATATCAAAACAACATGAGGGTTCACAGATGTTCACTTCTGCCCACCAAAATGCTTTTAGTGGAAAAGCTTTTAGGATGTGGGGCTCTTTTTCCTTCTCTGTGTTTGACCTTGGTGGAAGAGTTGATCTATCCAAACAGAATTATGCCAAAGTGGTGGAGTTGGTACATGCCTAGGCTGGGTTGACAATGTTGTACTGCAGATATAACATTAAGCTCACTCAGTCCCTTTTGGGAAACTCTGAGAGGACATGTAGTAGAGGCTCCCTTGTGAAGGTCTTTGTGACCTATGGTATGAAGCAAAGTCAGAGACATATTTACTGGAACAATTTAGACTCAATAAACACAGAATTGCCAAGGACCTTCTTTGTCTCATGTCTAACCTGTGGGGGGGGGGTGTAGAGTGATTGGATGAGACCCTTCAGTGACTACAGTAAAAAAAAATGTCCAAGCTACATTCTCTCATATGCCTGCTCTCAGAGAGATATGAGTCATTGCATAGCAATGTGGTTTGAAGAAGACTGCCTATCTGTGTCAATCAGAGGCCTTTCCCTTAACCTAACTGTTGTGAGAAGTGGAATTTCAGTGGATGGATCACAGCACATCCAGAGGGTTAATCTATTCATCTGTTGCTTGCACCGAAATTCAGTTCTTATAAAGCTTCAGATGACACCAACAGAAGGTTGCTTAAAAGGTTACATGTACTGCAAAAAGCCAGGTTAAAAGGAGGGAAAGTTGTGGGTTGGTCAGGGAGCCCAATGGGCTACATGGTTTGCTGCCACTGTTTTATACGGTGCTTGCACCAGCCTTCATTTCAACCTAAGTCTGAATGTTGAGCCCCATGGTGTCACACGATACAAGTCATACTAGCAATAATACCTTCTCCCTACTCACCACATGTCTAGATGAAATCTGGCATTTGCTATATCTTCAAACTCCCTGGAAAACACAATTTAGGGGAAAGGTTACAATTACAATTTGTATGTAGGTTATTGGTTTGGGGTTGCAAGGAGGAGTACAGTGTTCCCTTGCTACTTCGCGGTTCGCTTATTGTGGACTTGCTGTTTGCGGAGAGCAGTGAGGGAACACTGTATAGCTACTTCCCATTCCTTCCTCAAGGAAGGGACCTCCGAGGCAGGGAGCAGCAGAGGCAGCGAGGAAGACGAGGCCGCCGCCGCCGAAAGGGTCTCGGAGGCAGCATCCTCTTCCTCATCCCTCCGCTGTTCCCTGCGCCTTCCTTGCCAGGCTGGGTGCCAGGCATGGCTTGTCATATGGGAGGCATGGCCAGAGACTCCTCCTTCACGTACAGGAAGAATAATATCACCAAGCCCTACTCAATAATAGGCATAAACAGGAGGAGGAAAGTTCTTCACATAAAAAGGAAATTGAGAAGTGGCTAGGCCTTCCTCTATACACACACACATCCAAATTGAAAAAAATTGTACAAATGAGGTAACACCTCATTCCTTAGCCTCATGACTGATTAGCTTTCTTCACCTTGTTGGTTACAGAAAGCTAGAGCAGAGCTTTCCAGGCATTTCATGTTGGTGACACACTTTTAGACAGGTATCATTTCCTGACACAGTAATTCAGTTTTACTAGCAAACCAGAGGTGCATTAAACCAACCCTTTATGAGAGATACCGACACATAAATTGCTATAACGGAATAGATGGAGACTCAGCATATCTCATTACAAACTATTTTTAAAAATTGTTTATTGCTTATTTCACATAGACTCAGAGGTTTATCATTATGTTCACATGTTGCTCACTTACACACAGCAACCAACACACTAATGTGTAAAACTCAGTCACTGAGTCGCCTTCGGGCTGATATGGGTGGGATACAAATGTTGTAAATAAATGCATAATAAATAAATAGAGAATCACCAAGACTGAGGAGGGGAGACTTACAGGATAAAAGTTTCATCCCAAACCGGGTTTAATGTCTGACTGATGATTTGGGTGCGATGGGTCTGGTCTTCAGGGATCAGATTCTTAACCACCGCCTTTGCCCGTTTCTTGTTCCCTTGATTGCCATTGGTGGAAGAGTCCCGCTTTTTTGTTTCTAACCCTAGGAGGCAGTAGGGGTCACTCAGTCCTGAAAGCAGAAAAGGAGTTCTTGAAATGTACAGCATTCATTTCCTAAATTAAGGCCCCATCAAAGCACAGAGAAATGAAGTATGTAGCAACTATGTCAGAGATTGGGGAAATTATATTTTTGGACTAAAGTTCTCCAGATTCTCCAGCCAGTTAACTACCAAGGCTACCATTCAATCTTTCCTAAATTAAAAATGGGAGTGATGGAAAAAGTACTCCATCACATCTAGACAGAACCTCAATCATTGCCTGATACCAGATGAGAAACTCCCCTCTGGGCACACAGAAGATTGGGTGACCTGGAAGGCACTGAACAGGCTGTGCTCTGGCACCATGAGATGCAGAGCCAACCTTAAGAAATGGGCTACAAAGTGGAGTCCACAACATGTGCGTGTGGAGGAGAAGAAACCACAGGCCACCTATTACAATGCAACCTGAGCTCCACCGTATGCACAATGGAGGACTTTCTCACAGCAACACCAGAAGCACTCCAAGTGGCCAGCTTCTGCTCAAAGGACACTTAGCATAATGCCAAGTTTTAAACTTTGTTTGTGTTTTAAATACATTATAGCTGTACCCTCAATTCGCTTCTGACATAATAAATAAATAAATCACATCTAGAGGTCACAAGGTTGGATAAAACTACATGAATGTGTCCCCACTAGCAACAGTTTTCATAATCTGATTAACTCCAAAAGACTATTATAAAAGTAGCTAAGTGCTGAGCGGAAGGGAAAAACATTTCACTGGGATCCCCTTTTTCTTTATCTGACTTATAAATTCTTTTTGACTCACCACTGGCATCTTTACCCAGAATACCTCTGGCTTGTTTGACAGTTGCTTTGAGACAAAATATTGGTTTCTGGAATGAATTTAAAAAGAGATTCAGGCTGCATGCTTAATCTAGCAACGACAAAATGGTGAAAGCACTGTATATGTATTGTGACTTTACCTCTAGTTCTTTGACCCTCTGAAGAATGATGCGGTGTTCATCTGGGTCCATGCCAAAGGCCTGGTTTAGGGGTTAAGAAGATAAATGGTTAGATGAGGCTTCAGTATTGAACTTATTGGTTCAATTAAGACTGGGCAGCAACAATTCTACATTTTAAGATCAGTCTCTTAAGCTGAACTCGGAAATGTTACTTTTTAGAATACAACTTCCAGAGGTCCCCAAGCAACGAGTTTCTTGTTCCTGGCAGACATCTATCAATACCATGAGCTTCTGCAGATAAATGGAAAACTCTGAGAACATCTCATGTTGCAGTTTTAGCACTGGCCACTTGGTGTCTTACCACAACTGCTTATGTGCTATTTCTTGCATAATAAGGTATGTATTTCCTCCTCTTTGAATGTTATGGGTCAAGTTTAAAATACTGTTTTTCAGATACATTGATAGTGCATCCAGACATACTTCCTTCCCTACAGACATCAGCTACTTTGCCGAGGTGTCCTTTTTACTGCTTTTTTTGACCTCTCCACACACAAAAAAACCACGTTAGAGATTTCTATAACACAGTCATGAGGTTGCAAACCACAAAAGAGTCAGACAAAATTGGCTGAGAAAAATGTTTGACATGAATAGGACATGACAAAAGCAAAGAAGCAAAAAGAAGGTTGATAGAATGGTTTCAATTCAAGATCTTCCTTTCAGCTTCTCAGTTGCAATTTTTGAGTTAGGTACTATCCCTCTCAGAAATCCAGGGAATGAAATCACAAAGGAACCACGACTCTTTTTCTTACACTGTTGTTTTCTGTTTTTTGCATGACTGAGGACCCATCTACACAGACCATTTAATGCAGTATGAAACTGGTATTGAAGAAAGTGGTCTTGCTGTGCAGATTATTACATAGGAAATCCTGGATCCTATTTGAGGCCTGGATGGGATTGCAAAAGGACTTTTCTTTCATGTGTTTTTGAGGAAGCTTGTTGTCTGGTCATGGCAGTTTGAAGTCAACTTCCAATTGCATTAAATGGTCAAGGTAAATGGGGCTTCACTTGCATTTCCTCTTTGACAAGAGACCCATAGGAATCTCATGATGCCCCTGCTACAAAGAATAATTGCTTGTCTTAAGGTTGTTGCTTGGAAAAGAACAGGAAAGATGAAGCAAGTCAGACAACAGGTGCGAGAGATGCCTGTAAAGAAAATAAATACAAAATAAAGAGTAACATGAGATTTAGAGTAATACAATGAGGAGGATGAATTTGATTGAAGTCTGACCTTCTGCACATATGCATACAGCTCATCTGGATCAGCCACATGGTTTGGATCTGGTTTGCCCAAACGATGAAGAATGGTGTAGAGCACTTCTTCATACAGCAAGGTGAGCTGCAATAGACATTAGGAGACAATCACAAGAACCAAGTCAGCACCATGTAAATGAATGTCTATTGTACATTGTGTGGATCTGTTGATCCAAGAGAAACCTGAGATTTTTTTTATATGGATGGTAGTAGAACATATAATTATGATTTAATAACAATAATAAGCATATAATTATGATTTGATAACAAATGAAACAATGAAGAATCCTTAGCACCTGAGTGAAAACTTGGTTAAGGAAAAGCCCATACAGCTGAGAACAGGATTTGAATAACTCGTAGTCAGAAACCTTGTTATCACCACAAACACATTTTTCTAGCTTTGGCCTGAGTTTGATCCACTTACCCAAATCTTTGGAACGATGGAAAGGTTTTTTTTCTGTGTCGGGAGTGACTTGAGAAACTGCAAGTTGACAGATTGGTGCTCACCCTGCTCCCTGGATTCAAACCGCCGACCTTTTGGTCAGCAGTCCTGCCGGCACAAGAGTTTAACCCATTGCGCCACCAGAAGCTACACATCTTACCACTAAAGAAAACCCAAAAGCAAGGTGGACTGGAAACATCTAACAGATGTATTTTTTAAAGGAGACAGGATTAAATTAATGCAGTTTGACCTACTTTAACTACCATGGCTCAATCCAGGGAGCTGTGGTTTGGGGAGGCACCAGCACTCTTTGATGGAGTAGGTCATGATCCCATAGCATTGAGCCACTGAAGTGAAAGTGGTGTCAAACCGCATTAGTTCTACAGAGTAGATGCATCCTAAGTCTCAGAATGAAGAAAATACGATTTTATTACTTATATCAGCCTACCAAATTTTGGACTCAAAATATTTATATGGCCTTCTTCGTAGTAGTTCTCAACCTGTGGGTCCCCAGATGTTTTGTCCTTCAACTCCCAGAAATCCTACATCTGGGAGATGTAGGCCAAAACACCTGGGGACCCACAGGTTGAGAACCACTGCAGGTCTTACAAGAAAAAGAAAAATGCAATTCTAGCAGTAACTGCATCAAGAGATAAGATACACTTTGCACGGGTTGTATGTACATGTGCCTTATATCAAATTGCATATACCGTACCTTGTTTCATTTTAAAATTCACATTGAACATAAAGTAACTTATAGGATTACAAAGTAATACTTACATTGCAACTTTAAAGCCTACCCACAGGAATTGTAAAAGGGATGTTTTTGAAGTTTGTGCCTGGCAACAAATAGTTTACAGTGCGAGAGGCAGAGAGTTCTTGTTGTTGTCGTGTGCCTTCAAATCCTTTGAGACTTATGGTAACCCTAAAGCAAGCCTATCATCTACTTCAACACTCAAGTCTCTATACCAGGAATCCTCAAACTGTGGCCCTCCAGCTGTTTGGGCCTCCAACTCTCAGAAGCCCTAACAAGCTTTTTCAGTTGTCAGGAATTCTGGGAGCTGAAGGCCCAAACAGCTGGAGGGCCACAGTTTGAGGATGCCTGCTCTGTGCCTTCCCTGAGCTGTAAAATTATCATGATAAGGATATCCTTGATGCATATGAAAAAAACTGGAACAGCGTAATGTGACTGACTCTTGCCCTGTGAACTATCAGTTACCAAGCATTGACTTTGAAGACACTTGTTTTAGAGTCCCTGCAGATTGTTTTAATAGTTGTAAGGGAAGTATTATTTTGTAATCATATACTGTAAGTTAATTTAGCTCAATATACATTTTAAATTGCTATTTACACTTAATTTGATGCAATAGACATGGACCTCATTAATTTTGCAAATTGTAACTTGTCTCATGGCATAATTACTCCCACTCTGGAGAATGGTGGCATAGGAATGCAAGAAATACAAATAAATAAATAAGATTTCATTTTCTTCTAGCAATCTCCGAACAGGGCCCTAAAAGTACTCCTGGCCCAAAATATATTGGGCTGTTTTCAAGAATACAATCATCTCCTATATCCTGACCACTTCATCACACTAGAGAGAAAAATCCACTTTAAATCTGCTTTCTGCCTCTTGCAGAATTCTGGGGTTTGTAGTTTAGTGAGGCTGTTAAAGTCTCCTCCCTAAACTACAAACCCCAGAATTCTGCAGGAGGCAGAAAGCAGATTTTAAGTGGATTTTTTTCTCTAGTGTGATGAGTGGTGATTCTATACTGCAGAATTATTGTAGTTCAATGCCACTTAACTGTCACAACGTATTGCTATAGAATCGTGGAAATGGTAGTTTTGCAAAATGTACTGGTGCCTCACCAAATTACAACTCTCAGGATTTCATGAGCCATGACAATTAAAGGGGTGTCAAACATTAAATCTACAGTGTAGTTAGACCCTTTCCCTCTTTTCAGGGATTGGAGAAAGGAGCTGTGTTGCAGTTGCTAAGCAATCTCTGGATCAGTTCTTCAACCACATGTAAATAGATCACAGCAAGGGGAGAAGAATCTACTGTGGTTTGGCCAGAGATGAGAGAAGCAGATGGCATGTGATATTTACTTGTCCAGTGCCAGGAGGAACAGGAGTGGAGGAAAAATGGCAAGGACAGGACACTCTACTATTCGGCAAAACGAGGCACTGCAACCTATAAACCACTTATCCTGTGCCTCTGGACCATTCTCTCCCTGTTAGAGGACAGACACACCTGGTCACACAGTCAGTCCTGCATCTCCTGAACTAGCTTTTCCTTAGGTATAGAGGAGGGAAATTCAACTAAATGATACTGGCTTCCATACACAGAACAATTTGGAGTTGCCACGTTGTTTTTTGCTTCAGGAAGCAAATATTTTGGGCCAGGATACCAGTTATTTCCAGATTTCCTAATTTCCATCTGTTGAAACAATCTACTGCTGATTTTATAACAGGCACAGATGTATTTTGTGCTTTATTTCACAAAACATTATGCATATTGCCCAAAGATTACAACCTGTTCCATTTTGTGTAAAAAAGAATCTCACAGTATGTGTTTACTAATTGAAATTGACAAGGGAAAAAAAAAAACCCAAAAAAAGATTTCACACAATGCAAAGTTATGTCATGACAGTTGTTGCCATAAAATGTGATTGAAGCAACATGGCTTTCTATGGGGATTGAACAAATAAATGGAGGTAATACTTTAAGATACAAGGCCTAAATGGAGCTCCCCAGTTCAAAAAAGTGCATTTTTTTGTTATTAGGCACTGTGTTGCCGTCATGTGATGATACTTGTTGGCTTTCTCGAGGCATCTAGATAGACCTCAGTGAGAAACCAACAGCAGTCCCCAAATTACAAATGGCACAGGTTCTGTAGGTTTGTTCTTAAGTTAAATTTGTATGTAAGTCAGAAGAGGTACATTTTTGAAATGAACTCCAGCTATATATATAGATATAGATATAGATATAGATAAGGTAAAGGTTGTCCCTTGACATTAAGTCCAGTCATGTCCGACTATGGGGGGTGGTGCTCATCTCCATTTCTAAACCAAAGAGCCGGCGTTGTCTGTAGACACCTCCAAGGTCATGTGGCCGGCATGACTGCATGGAGCGCCGTTACCTTCCCGCCGGAGCGGTACCTATTGATCTACTCACATTTGCATGTTTTCGAACTGCTAGGTTGGCAGAAGCTGGGGCTGATAGCGGAAGCTCACGCCACTGCCTGGATTCAAACCTGCAAACTTTCGGTCAACAAGCTCAGTAGCTCAGCAGTTTAACCCACGGCACCTCCAGGGGCTCCCTAGCTATATGTATGTGTATATATATGCATGTATATATATGTGTGTGTGTGTATATATATATATATATAGAGAGAGAGAGAGAGTTTAGCTTTGGATAGCATAGTGAAGAGTTGACACCCACGTGGTGTTTGTTTTGGTGTCTGTGCTCCTGTTTAGAATATTTCACTGCACTTTCTGTCCCTGTGATAACTGGGTTCTAAAAAATTTGGCTTGTTGAGGAAACAAGGATTAATGAAAAAGTTTAAGTGAAGACACATTTTCTGCATGAGAACTCTTTCAGGAGTGGATTTCTGAGGGGTAGATTTATCTTACTTCCTGTTGTCTCACCCTCGTTTTTAACTATGAGTCATTTGGTCATTTGTAAGTTGGATGTTTGTAACTCAGGGACTGCCTATACATGGTGCATCCGAAGGAACTTTGTCTGGTCTTTAATTATTGAAGAGAATGAACATTAGGAGTCTTACCTCTTTCCTAGTGAATTTATGAGACAGGTCCATCTATGGGGAAACAAGAAAAATATAATGAAAATTAAAAACAGATTTGTGTTTATCCCTGTAATCCATTTTATACCATTCCTATGGTGGTTATGGACATGTAAAAAATCACCGTCTTCTGTACCAATCTCCTTGTCCCCTAAATGCCTCCTTTACCAAAAAGGATACCTTACAGCTATGCAGGAGAGAGCTGTAAGGTATCCTTACAGCTATGCAGGAGAGAGCTGAGGGGTAATATCTACCAATCTGTCAAAATTACTGTATAGAGAAACAAGGGACAATGTCAACTGAAGATGGCATGTTACAAATATTACCTGCTGCTTTTGTTTAAACTTATTCTATTTTGTTCTGCATTCTGAATATTGTATGCTAATGATGACACTCACAATATCCTAGATTTTAAAAAACAGATTCAACATAAACTAAACAACAGGCTTCTTCCCAAAACAGCCCAGCAGATTATTCAGCGGGTATATCATGACAGGGCATGACTCACAAGAAAAGACAATAACATTTGCTAAGGTAGGCAGTAGTAAGATAAAAGGAAGATCACATGACATCTAAATGTAATCAAGTGAGGAGGCCATGGCCCTAAGACTGTTGAGGACAGGGTCCCGTGGCGGGTCATAAGATCACCACAAGTTGAAGTCGACTTGATCGCAGTTCAAAACAAACCATGGATGTCACCATCATCCATATCCCCATGTACAGTATTCAGATTCAGATTTTGTAATCATTCTTGGCATTCATTAAATCATCAGCACATACATCTTTGCATCTTCCACATGCATTGCTGTAATGTATGTATCATTTTCTTTTGTGTCTTTTGAAATGATCCATTTTTACAAACATGCTTATAATCAATGTATTGTTGAAGGCTTTCATGGCTGGAATCACTCAGTTCTTGTGGGTTTTTTCGGGCTATATGGCCATGTTCTAGAGGCATTTCTCCTGACGTTTCGCCTGCATCTATGGCAAGCATCCTTGCCATAGATGCAGGCGAAACGTCAGGAGAAATGCCTCTAGAACATGGCCATATAGCCCGAAAAAAACCCACAAGAACTGAATGCTTATAATCAATTAATATATGTTGTGATCAATCAATGATGTATTTTGGTTAAATTTAATTTACTGTTGAAATCTAAAGCTTGGGAAGGGTTAGGATTTGGCCAAAGTATTGGGTGCAGGTTTCCCAGATGTCATTCCACTCTGATGTTATTTTGCCCTTCCACTGTCGGCATCTACATTTTATTGGGAAATGGCAGCTTCTATGGAACTGCATAATATTTGACTGGATGTTATGTAGATGTTTTGAAAAATGGCATTCATAACTTTTTGGAAAAACACTTTTGGAGATCATAACTTTTGAGAAAAGTATGACCCTTCAGAGAAGAGTCAAAAACCCTTTAGGGTTGAATCTTCTCTTGTGTTATACAACCAGATATAATTATGCTAGGCAATGGTTCCAGTTGTTCAACTGAATAACCTGTTAGGATCACAGAGCAAGTGTGTGATCTGGGGTCTGAAGTAGTCTGTCTGCAGTAGTCTGTCGTCTGCTAGTCTGTCTTTAATGATCATGTGGTCTGCAGCCCCGATAGAGTAGCTGCATACCAGAACATACATAAAGGAAACAGTAAGCAACAGGATAATAGATAAACATTACCAGAGAAGGCTTGAAGAAGATTGTGATTTCCCACAGACCTAGCCCTGGCTTTCGGCAGAGGGATGTAGCTGATGCAGAGGGACCAAAGCCAGATAACTGGGGAGTGGCCTCCCTTGCATCTCCCCAAGCTAGTGTGGATGGTGTAGGATGGAGAGCCAGTCCTGCAGCCAATTTTGAAGAAACGGTCAACTTTGAGAGCCCAGTGCCTTTTGTATAAATGGAGCACCATCTTGTACTAGCTCTGGTGTTATTATATGTACCAAAACATTAAAAGCAGAGCTCAAAGAAAATGTACAACATTGTCTTATTTAATGCATGTCTGTCTTGGTACTGAAAACAAACTGAACACAAACTGAGTTTCTTCCCCTCATCACTGAGTATGAAAGTTGTGCCCACACTGCTAGGATTGATGTTTAGGGCAGGACAGCTGATATTTGTTTCTGTCTATCCATCTATCTCAATCCTAGTCAGGAACAAAAAGGTCTCATAAATTAAGGCTGTCCTTTTTCTCCAAATAAGATGTTCCTAAATCTACTTTCAAAAAGCTTTCAAAAGTTTGAAAGTGACATTAAAAGACAATAGCCTGCTGGCTTTCACATTTATTGCACATGATGTTGTGGCAGCACATACATTTCAAGAAAATCCGAAAGTGACATTACAAAACAATGGCTTACTGGCTTTCACATTTATTGCAAATGACGTTATGACAATGCATACATTTTAATAAAATCTGAGGATTCTTGTGACTAGTAATATCAGGAAACTGAGATCAGCAGCTTGAAAAAAAATAGAATTGATTGGACTGTTGTGCAACACTTTGCACAAAAGAAGAGAGGCCAGGTATAGTGTTGTTTTCATTTTAGGGCAGGATTCTCCCCAGGGCCGGTTTTTCCATTACGCGAAGTAAGCGACCGCGGAACACTTTGTTTTTCCCAGGGGCGCTCATGCGCCTCCTTAAATGCTCCTCCAATTGGGCCTCGTCCCACGCGCGGGAAAGGCGCGCGCCTCTGCTCTTCCCCTCTCGCCCCGCATGTGCCTTTCCTGGCGGCAGAGGCAGGAAAGGCGTGCGAGGGAGAAGAGAAAGGTGCATGCCTTTCCCTCCCCTCATGCCCCGTGCACCTTGTAGAGCGGCGAGAGGAGTGTGGGGCAGCAGCGAGGCTTGGCCATCTCCTTCTCCTCTGGGCGCTTCTTCCTTCTCCTCTCCGTTTAGACACCTCCAAATGGAGAAGAGGAGGAGGAAGACTGGAGGAGAAGGAGGGAAGACCTCGCTGCTGCTGCTGCTCTGTGCCATCCTCCTCTTCTCACCTCCTTCGAGGCGAGGCATCGAAGGGGGCGAGAAGAGGGGGGTGGCACAGAGCAGCAGCAGCAGCGAGGTCTTCCCCCCTTCTCCTTCTCCTCTGGGCTCTTCCTCCTCCTCCTCTCGGTTTAAGCACCTCCAAATGGAGAGGAGGAGGAAGAAAACCCTGGAGGAGAAGGGGGGAAGACCTCGCTGCTGCTGCTGCTGCTGCTGCTGCTGCTCTCTTCTCGCCCCTCTTCTCGCGAGAAGAGGAGCGTGGGGCAGCAGCAGCAGCAGCGAGGCTTGGCCATCTCCTTCTCCTCTGGGCTCTTCTTCCTCCTTTCCATTTGGGGATCTCCAAACGGAGAGGAGGAAGACCCTGGAGGAGAAGAGGGGAAGACCTGCTGCTGCTGTTGCCCCACTCCATGCTCTTCTCTCTACCCTTTGAAGCCTCTGCTTCGCCTGGAAGGCTCAAAATGTTCCAGCAGCATTCTCTCCTGACGTTTCACCCACATCAGTGGCAAGCATCCTCAGAGATTGGGAGGTCTGTTGGAAACTGACTCGCCCCCATTTCCTTCTCAGCTTTGGAATTATTACTATTATTATTATATTTTATTATATTTATTATTCTATTTACAATTATTATTTATTACGTTATTATTTTTAACATGAATTATTTATATTTATTAGATTGTTATGTGTTATAAATGGCAGGCATCTTCAGAGGTTGGGAACTCTGTTGGAAACTAGGCAAGTGGGGTTTATATATATCCCTGTGGAATGATGTCCAGAGTGGGAAGAAGGACTCTTGCCTGCTTGAGGCAAGTGTGAGTGTTGGGAACTCTGTTGGAAACTAGGCAAGTGGGGTTTATATATATCCCTGTGGAATGATGTCCAGAGTGGGAAGAAGGACTCTTGCCTGCTTGAGGCAAGTGTGAGTGTTGCCATTGGCCACCTTGATTAGCACTGAATGACCTTGCAGCTGGATGCCAAGTTTTTAAACTTTGTGTTTTCTATATACATTACAAATTTACCCTTGGTTTGCTTCTGATGCAGCAAATAACCTTGCAGCTTCAAAGCCTGGCTGCTTCCTGCCCGGGGGAATCCATTGTTAAGACATATTAGCTGGCCTTGATTGACTCTTGTCTGCAAGGCCATTGAATGCTAATCAAGCTGATGGGATTTGGAGTACCTTCAACTGATTCAGCTCAGACTTCCACAGACCATTAAAACTCCCATTAATGACAGTTCTGAACCAAACTTGGCACACAGAACCTCCATGACCAGCAGAAAACTCTGGAGGGGTTTGGGAGGAATTCACAGTAATAGGATCCTAGTGTTGCAAGAGACCTCCAAGGGCCATCCAGTCCAACCTCCTTCTGCCATAAGGGAAAAACACAATCCAAGCACTCCTAACAGATGGCCATAGAGACTCTGCTTAATAATAATATTATTAATAGTAATAGAATCCTAGAGTAGGGAGATTGCCAAGGGTCCATCCAATCCAACTTCCTTCTGGCATAAGCGAAAAGCACAATTGAAACACTCCTGATAGATGGCCATTTAGACTCATAATAATAATAATAATAATAATAATAATAATAATAATAATATCACCCTGGGGTAGTGTGGTGGTATGCAAAATAAAGTAATGAGAAGCAGCCAGAGATTTTTTTTGTTTGACAGACATAGATTGGATTAGTATGTGTTTTGCTGCCAAATTTGGTGCCAATTCGTCCAGTGGGTTTTGAGTTATGTTAATCCCACAAACGAAAATTATATATTTATTTATATAGATAAGGTTATTCTATCTTTAGTCGTCTCAGTGGACTTACTTGTTGTGGTCCAAAATATTTTATTTTCTTTGGAATTGCCATGCATTCTAGAAGAAGTCCTTACAGAAAGGAAGCCGTTCGTTCCGTAAATACAGAATATTTATTTAAGTGTGTGTGTGATGGAATGCATTGCAATTTGCAATTCCAAATAAAATAATATATATATGTGTGTGTGTGTGTTCTTGAGGAACGGGCAGATCTGGCGTGCATTACGGAGACCTGGTTGGAC